GTGGAAGGGTATTCACGTTGCTGGCACCAATGGCAAAGGCTCAATATGCACCTTTCTTGCTGGTATGTTCAAGCTCGCTGGTCTCGGTTATGGAAGCTTCACATCCCCCGCCTTTCCAGAGAGGCACAATGGGGTCACAATAAATGGCCTTTATGTGAATCCGCGAATGTACGAAATGGAAATGAAGCATGTTGAGGAAAAGTACAACCGTATTGCTGCTGGTTGGAAATACAAGCACGGACAGGAGCCTCCGAATCTGACACCATTCGAGTCCGAAACAGCAACAGCATTCCGAGTATTCAACAAAATGCATGTTCCCTATGGTATCGTCGAAGTTGGCATGGGTGGTGCCACAGATGCAACCAATGCCATGAAGCAAAAGTCTGTCACAATCATCTCCAAGATCGGCCTCGACCACCAAGAGTACCTCGGAAATTCCATCGAACACATTGCCAAGGTCAAAGCTGGCATTATGCAAAGGAACGTTCCTTGTATTGTTGACCACACTAACAAGCCTTCTGTCATCCATGTGCTACGAAAACATGCTCGAGAAATTGGAACAGACATCATCCTCACATGGAAGGGCGAACCATTACTGTTAACTCTCGACAACTCAAAATGGATGCTTGAGAGTTACCAAGTTCAGAATCTGTTGTGTGCAGCTATGGCTTTCCGTCATCTCTTCCCGTTGCAGGAGATCAACTTGGACAAGCTCATGGAAACCGATCCTTTCTTACCAGGCCGATTGGAAACAGTTCAAGTCAACGCGCCACTTTCTGGTATTCAGCCGCGGGAAATCCTGGTCGACGGTGCTCATAACATGTTGGGAATCACAGAATTGCGCAACCATGTCAACAAACGACTACGAAAAGGTGACCAACCAGTGACCTGGGTTATGGGTATGTCCCAAAGCAAGCACAAGCCTTTCTTCAAGATGATGGAAAGGCTTGTCGAGCCCCAGGACAACTTTGCTATGGTTGAATTCACTCAAGGTCCCAATGATCCTCAGCCTTTGCCCGCCTCATTCGGTACCGAATACGCCCAGATGAAACAAATCGCTCCTGGCAATGTATACTCTGGAACGCCTGACATCGCGAGTGCTCTCCCATGGGCTTGCAAGAAGAGTGACGGTGGTCCTTTAGTGGTTACGGGGAGTCTTTACCTGATTCGACAATTATTGGGTCTCAAAGGCATTCGTCGAAGAAGAGAACTAGGTACGAGGAGACCTGGCAGAGCTCAGCTCTACCGATATTCCAAGATTGCTCGGGAGAGAAATCTGACAGACGAGGAGGCTCGGGAGTTCAAACAGGCGAGACGACACCACTTCCTATCACCGAAACGAAGTAAGGTCTTTGCCCAAGTACACGACGGCGGCCCTATCCAACCACTAAAGGTACCCGTCAAGACAAGAGAGCTGCAAAGGATGGCTGCGTTTCATAATAAACAGGCAGAGGCATATCGGAAGTCTATCGCCGCCATTAAGAGGGATATGGAAAGCCCAAAGAAGAAAGCAGATAAGCCTGAAACGGCCGTGGAAAATGTTGCCTCCCGTCTAGCAGACTTGGAGGCACAGGCTGCGAAGCACAAGGCAGAATATGAAGATGCCATGTTCAAAATTAGGGGATATCGTGCACTACCGCACATGAAGTACAAGAGTCATCGACAAGTGTTTGGGTATCCAGCGACCCCCAAGCCCCCAACCAAGTCCCCTTTCCAACCGGCAGGGTCGAAGAAGAAGCGCAAAGGCAAATCTAAACACTTGTCGAAGGACAACAAGGAGAGCTTTAAAGACCAACTCGCTGCGGCTGAGAAGCAAAGGGCACTGGAGATAAAACAGGCCAAGGCGAGGGACAGCAGCGATCCCTTTGAAGCACAGGTGGCTGCTAACAGGAAAACGGAGGGAAACTCATGATGACTTGGAATGTTTGAATATCTATAACGCAAATGTACTATCACAAAGCGATTTACGTATTGGCAGGGGAAATGGGATGGGCAGATTTGGTAGAATCTATATGTACATTACCAGGGTAGAGGGGGCAAAGTCTATCTCAATCTATCATGAAGCTCCAGTCCTCCAATGTAAACACCGTAAAAACCACTTTATATCTTTTACCTTATACTTTGATAACCTCAATTCGTTGTTTGCTTGATTTGCTTACGAACTAGGTATCACATGATCATACCCTCACTTTACATCCAACCCTTTCCAACTTCTGAATCCCCTCATCCTCCATCTCACCGCCATGCCACCGCCATGCCACCGTCACATCTTATCATCGTCTGCTGCCACGGAGTTTGGCTCGGTGGCCCAACCCTCGGCCAAGATGAAAGCGAATGGCTAATCGCAGACTTCCAGCGTGGTGAAACCCCGACTTTTGTTCAGCATATTAAAGCTGGCGTAGATGCCCTCGCTCAGAATTGTCCAAGTTCTGTTTTGGTGTTTTCTGGGTATGTAACCCGGCTATTATTTCGCGCATTTTCTAACCATGATAAGAGGACCGACGCGCAAAGAGTCGAGAATTTCCGAGGCAGAGGGCTACAAAAATATCGCAGCCAAGAACAACTACTGGGGGCTGCTACAAGATGAAGATATCAACGATGCAGTGTTGTTGGAAGAGCGTGCGCTTGACTCGTACCACAACGTCCTCTTCTCCTTAACGCTCTTCTATTCCCACTACAAAAGATGGCCAGCTCACATCACTATTGTTAGTCATGGTTTTAAGAAAGAGAGACTTGTCGATGGGCACTGCGCAGCTATTGGCTTCCCTCTCGACCGAGTCACCTTCATTGGTATAGATCCGCCCGGTATGGCAGCATCTTTGAAAGATCAAGACAAAGAAGAGGCGATGAAGGGCGCTGCTTTGGCGATGGGTGAGTGGAGGGATGATCCTCATGGACGAGGGGAGAGTCTTGCTGGGAAGAGAGCGAAGAGGAACCCTTGGAGTGCATGGCAGGGTGTGTTTCCAAGTGAAGATGACGATCGTGGTGGTTTGGTCATCAAGATGGAGAACGGAAGCGAAGTTGTGGACGAGGAAGTAGCACGACCTTGGTGATCTCTATCACATCTATATCTATACCGCAAATCTACAGAACACTTTTCTCCCCCTCTCTGACATGTACCTTGCCTCTCGGTCCCCTTTCCACGGCATGAACCAGGAACTGCACAGCATCCTCCACCATCTTGGGACTGAACTTATGTCCAATACCCTCATATACTCTATCATCCACCTCTAACCCACCATCGCGATACCAGCCCTTTTCACTCACAGCCTCCTTCAGTAACGTCGAAAATTCCTTGGTGTTGGCGTATGGAACTAACTCATCTTCACCGCCGGAGCAGAGAAGTAGCTTCTTGTCTTTGATGCGCTCATCCAGAATAGCCCTCAGACGGTCCTGTTCGGCAGAGGATAGTGAAGATGGGATGGGCGAATCACCGAAGCAAATAGCCTTAGGGTCGTGTCTGCTGCAGATTTCGATGAGATCTTTGGGGAAGTATTTGCTTCCGATAAAATCAGGGCCGCAGTCGAGTTTCGATCCAGCAGCGCGACCAGACATGAGTCCTGTCTCGTCAGCTTACTTTTCTCGCACTTGGCCAGAATAACTCACCTGAAAAATCAGGACAGCCGATAATCACCACAGCTGCGTCGATTCTCTTCTCCCCAAAGAATGCCTGCCAGGCACCATGTCCACCCAGACTCCAGCCAAGGCACACATGTCCATCAATTTCAAGGCCAAGATACCCGGAAACAAGGTCCATAAGACTACTCATATCTGATACGCCTCCCTTCACCATGGAAAACATGTCAAGCGCATGAGTCGGATTTCCCTTGCTCCAAGGATCGTTCGCTGATATGCTAACCCTTCTAGTTCCGTGGTTGGGCATATCAAATGCCAGGGCAATGAGACCGCGCTTGGAGTTGCTACCAGCGTGCGTGCCCCATGCTCCTATGGTGCGTCTCGCGATATCATTCATGGTGTCTCGTGATCTGGTACGAGGGTGCAGAAGCCATAGGCACGAAACGGGGACATTGGGAGGAAGTTCATCAAGGCCATAGACATCGACACGCAAACCCGCCATATGAATGGTCTTGAGGGAAATTTCTGGGGCGGCCGGAAGGCCTTCGGTAACATATTTTACAGACATGGAGAGATATTATAAAAAACCCTTTGTATGAGAAGAATGAGCAGAGGTTGAAGTTACTATTTCGAAGTGATATCCATGGATATTCATTATATCCGATCTTCCCCAGGATCGCTGGTGGGTCTAGGGTAGCGAGCCGGTGTCGGCCCCATGATTTCGGAGAAGCATCATATCATAGACAAGGATCAAAAGCACTAAGATGTAAATGGTTATTCGTATTCAGAATATATCTCATTGGTATCTTTCACTCCAAAAGGTACATTGTGCGGTTGTGGGAAGATTGTGTGTGGTAAACTTGTAAAGACGAGACGTCTCTTATTTGACGTTGAAGTCAAGTAATAATTCTCAGAAACCCCTGGCCCCAAAAACCACAAACGCAAGACCTGATTTAGCAATAATGTCGGAGTGACTATAAGGCTTACAACATATATTTACGTTTAGATGCTGCATCTCTCAAGGTTTCAAAAGAATTATTAATTCACGTCGTGCTGCTATTGCCTTACGCAAACTAACTTATATAAAAAAGGGGTTAAATGAAACCAACATCATCATCCATCGCCATGCTGCTGTAAAGCAGTAAACAAAGAAACAAAAACCTGCCAAGCCCTTCCTCAACGCCGTGTCGGTATCGTGCCTGTCCCGTTGTCCACTGCCCTATCCCAGTCCAGCCCAGTCCAGTTCCTTATGCTGCCTGCGAAAAACAAAAATAATGTGTGCTGATTCGAAAAAAGAAATTCCATGTCGTCCATCTTCTAAGTCCGTTCTATGGCTCAGTACTCCCCGAGAAGTACATTGAACCCCTGCGTAATGGTCTGCCGAGCAGACATCTGTAGTTTTGTAACTCTGGAGCCCGTGACTTTTAATCAACCTTCCAGTGATCATGCTCGTCAGAGCCCAGATAGAGCTCGACACCGTACAAAACCATTGTCAGACCGATGTTGGCCCACTGCCAGTTACTGCCCTCAACATCACCACCTCGGAGAGTCCAGCCATCTGGGCCGTCACTGGTGGAGAAATGCTGTAAGAGCAGACTGGTGTAGACTGCTATTAAAATTGACGGGGAGAACCAGCTGAGGAATCCCAAGAATTTACTTGCAGTCTCAGAGTCCTCCCAATCTGGTTCTTGCATCATGGCTTGCGCACCCGACTCGCGGATTGAGGGGATGATACGTGTAGCGCAGTAGAATACCAAAGAGCGGTATGTTAGCGAAATGATGACTGATGGCGTGATAGTCTGGAAGGCGGCATATAGTAGCGCCAATGACGAGTGAACAGCGGATGGCAATGAGCCCAGCATGTGGAGGAAAGTCGAGTAAGATGCCATGATGACAGGCGGTAAAGGTGGAATATCAGACTCTGAGCCATCGTGATCTTGCGTATGATCTGCATTTTCTGATGGCAGATAATCGGTGAAGATCTGGTAGATGCAGAGTACAATATAGGCAAACAGAAGTGACGACTCAATAGGATTGCCGCGACCACTGCCGATGCCAAAAGCGCACAGGAACACGGCAGTTGTCATCGCGATGCCAATAAGGGTAGCATCAAGGTTGCCGATTTGAGGGAATTGTGCTACCCTCCAAAGGAAGTATACGGCGCTAGCCATGATGGAGCTGGAGAGAACCAGAAGAACGATCTGCGCCAGGGTTAGCATGTGTCAGGTTCGATGATTTGATATAAAACTTACCAACCAGGTATCGCTTCTTCCACGGTTGACAAGCCATCTTGTGAGCTGCCCCGCTGCCTGGATGACCAGCAAGGTACAGAAGCCCTCCAGAAGCTGGAACACGGGCCCCGAATACCGTAGCAGGTTATCCCACCCACCCAGCGTGATCGTCTCAACCAAGCCGTCCTTGCCAAACATCCATTCCCTCCAGCTTGTGCTCTTGGAGTTGAACAGACCACCCACTGTCCGCTCCACCCAATTTGTGTTGTCGGCATCGACAGCGAACTGTCCCAGCGCCCAGATGAGGAGGGCGGGGACGATGATCCACTGCGACAATCGTAGAAATCCAGAAAGGAAATACCGCGAGCGTGACTTTTCTGGCGTCAAAAGCTCGAGGCTGGAATATGTAAAGTAGAAGAGGAACAGGGCTAGACTGTAAGCCAGCCCACTATCGCGACCGCCGACATCGAAAGCGACGGGGATGGAGAGGACGATGCTGAGCAGAAAGATAGAGCTGAATAGCGCCCTGAATAACCACCACATCGGAGCGAAGAGATGGCAGGCGTAGGCCGCGCCGAGGGGAGGGTACCGAGTTCGTTGGTTGTGTTCAGCAGTTGGGCATCCAAGTGCGATACGTCAGGCGATAGCGAAGAATATCGTGACAGCTAAGATGTCGCCCGGTGTGCGGAGTAGGGAGTTTCAAGGGGAGAATTCACCCATCGATAAGGCTCGTTCGTCTCGATTTCGTCAAAGTGCGTGCAATATATCGAAGGTCGGTGACAAGTGGCAGAGCTCGAGCGGAACAAGATGAAGCAAATTTGAGGTTGAAGAGTTCAAGATCAAGATAAAACGGTCAGTTCCCCAAAGTTGGCGGTTGGTCGGTCTAAAATTCACGGCGGTAGGGTAAAGGTACGTAGTGATTTGGAGCTTCCGTCTGTCAAATCTGGGTTCGGCTGTTGCTTGATGTTTGAGTGTGACTTGCGCACACAGCAATGCAATGTGGCTAATCGAGGTAGCGGCCAAATTTTGCTTATCTTCTGCTATCTTCACGTGGCAGAGGCAGCTCATCTCTAAAGTAGTCACCCGGCCGCTAAAACCAAGTAAAGTTTACCATTTCATTTGATTATTGGCACGTGCTAATGATCTTGATATTCTTTTGTTTTTCTGTGTTGATTCAACAGACCAAGTTTCATGTTTCAAGAAAGGCAGGTTTATGCGTTGTGATTTTTCACTGATCGACCAAACAGATGCTGCTAGGATGACCTGGGTTGGCTGGTGCATAGCGTCACATCAACATGATAGGTTCGCAGCACATCTCACAATCAAGAGAGTCGATCAGTACCTACATAAAGCAGGGCAAGCAAGCAAGATCTGGGACAATGACAGCATCAGAGGGTAACCTCAGCACTGACAAATCTTCCGGTCTAGGTAAGTGTTATCAATCACCAAAATCTGCAAGGTCTTAAGTATGATGCATCGCCGTGCATACGAAATCTTGATTCAACAAAACCAAGGTCATGAAACCAAAATCAACTGAATAGCAAGTTGATCATTCACAACCTCAAGATAAGACTCATTCAGCTTAGCTTAGCTTAGCTTGCTTGCCTTCCACGTTGGGCGTAAGTCGCGTCTTGTACTTATCCGTATATGCCTGTAACCGACCCCACCTCGTGATCTGCAAAACACGGCCAAAGCCCTACGCATCCACTTCAGGTAAGAGTTTGTCTCCACGTCGTGTTAGAGCCTCCTCATTCTTACTCCTGCATCATCACAACCATTCATTCACCCGTCGAAAGTCACCCACCTCCTCCTATCGCCGACCCCAACAATCTTCTTTTTGATCCTTTGTGATTTGATAACCATGGCTCTTTTGTGTTCTTGCGCTAGTGCGCAGATTCTCGTGTCTTATTATGCTCCTCCCAATCTATCACGACATCTGTATCCATCCATTAATTGCTCTGCCCTGCTTGCCCATGATTTGAAAATGAAAATGCTGCTCGAGTGATGCAACATGGCCTTACTTCAATTGCAATCCTACTAGCGCCGAATGACCTGGAAGCAAACGTTGACTTGCTTCCCTCACCGATCGAGGACCCGACGCGATATCGATATAATATCCAGAACAATTGTACCAAGTGTTGCCATTGTAATGAGCAGGAAACTGTAACGTGGACCCGATGTGTGAGAGAGTAATCTTGGCCAACGCGAAATCATGGTGTATGCTGTATCGAGTCAACAGATTTCATGATGTTGGGACATACAGCTGCACAGATACTGCGATGCTAGAAGATTTACCAGTATGATGCAAGTGCATTTATCTTACATTCCTATTTCTCAATAGCTTGAGAATTATCTATTCACATGTTTGCTGTTGTGTATGTGTTGTCCCTATGGGTGTGGTGGTCGCTATGGTCGTGACCATATTGGGTAGTGGCGATAGCCTCAACACATTTTGAGAAATGCCTTGAGTGTAGAGGACATTGCGATGACTTCAAAACACCTTGGAATCATCGTGGCGCTGTATTGGGCGGGGTATCAAGAGCTTCACGTCACTAACGCTTCACAATGCCGCTGAAGCCTGCCCACCAGCTGGCAAAGCGCCAGCCACCCAGCAGCACGCTGGCAACCCCGCTTGCCTCACCAGAGCTCACAGCACTACCGCTCAAACTCGCACCAGGAAGGGCATCAGAAGAGGAGGGGATATAGTCTGATCTAAATCACCTCTCTTCCAAGGGGGAGCAGGAGGCGCCGGGGTAACCGGTCAGGACAAACTGCTCTCGCCTGGTGGATAAGGAATTCGAAAATTCGACGACACCCCGAGTTCGAACCCCGACGACATACCCGACGACAAAAAAACCGAAAAATCCCTAGGTGGTGGGGGAACAGAAGGCGCCAGAGCAACTGGTCAGGTCAAACTGTTCCCGCCGAAGGAAATGGCTCGACGACAAACCCCGACGACAAACCCCGACGACAAAGAGATGTAGGAGGCTTATCACCAGCCTCCGAACTCTTTTGCCAATTTGGTATATTTTATTTTTATCTATAAGCTTATTATATACATTATAATATTCTCCTTTTTGCAAGACTTTAAGATTAATTAAAATAAAACTACTAAAATAAAATAACTTATATATTAAAAAAACTATTATAAAATAAAATTATTACTTAAGTTAAAGTAAATAATATATATTTATATTATATTATATAAATATATAAAATAATATAAATAAAATAATATAATACAGTATTATAATATATAAAAAGATATATTAAGTAATTATAATTAAATTAATATAAAGTATTAAGTCTTAAATACTTCTCTTTATATTTAATATTAATAATAATTAATTGACGTTAAATGTGATGCTTTATTATTGGCTGGAGAGTTAATCGCCCAGAGATCGCCCAGCCCTTGGCACTAGCTTGGCGATAACCTCGCTGACTGTGGATATCAATCACCTCAGATAACACCACAGACGCTCACGAATTGCTTTGCGAAATAAGCTTAAAGGCCCCACATGCGCACAGAACATTGCGTTCTCTCGTCCTGGAGAAGAATCCCCGAACTCCCCGAGACTTGCAAAATGAAATAAAAACAGAGCAATGGGCAAATGGTGGAGCGTTCTTACGTGAGAGACTGACAAAACGAGACGATATGGCTCACAACCCCAAGAAAAGCCCGACGAGCCGCAATTCATTTCTCCTAGCCTAAATGACGCCTTTTAGGGATTCGATGATGCGACAGCAGGGTCTAAAGTAAACGACCAAGACGGGAATGGCACCACTCTTATTTCCATGGAGAGGGGGTAAACGCTCCGGACCCTCGGGACGTGGTTCGTTGGTCAAGGCAAACTTCAAGCCTGTTGCCATTTTTGGTTTCCTTTGGCATTAGCGATTGCATCATTTCTAGAGACTCGGACCATTCTTGATCATCGCCCAGTGAGCAACGGCGATGAAGAACAAGGCTATCGAAAGATAGACCGATCGAAACACTCGGGAAGTCTTCATTAAGAAAAGGGTTCACAAGCATCAACCTTCTGATGAATTGACTGGCATCGCTGTGACGTTGGGCCTGCATAACCCTGCAGCGAAGATCATAACCTCAATTGCTTCTTGTTGGTTTGGCTCAAACATCTCTCTCTTTTGAGCTCAGATCAATGTTATCACAGCTGACCACAATCACATCCGATCATCCATTTGGTTGACGCCTCATCAATAGCTGATTGTTGCTCATTATCCAGCCGAATTGCGTGCGATCTATCAGTATCAGCTTGCAGGAACAGGCTTGCAAAGTCGGACTCGCCTCCATCGCTCATGTACGTAAAAGCTACGTTACGCATGCACCACAGCTCAAGACCCCACGCGTTGGAGGACAGTGATCCAGTCAGGAATGTTGAAATCACTTTGTTTTGAGCCCCTGCCAGGCAGCAGGGAATGCATCTGGGATCGACCTGACGGAGATTCCGGTGGATTTGCACCTTGGACGATGATGCGACCCAAATGGGCCTTTACTGGCTGACATGCAGCTTCAGTCTGGGTCGTCGGGATTGTTAGAGGTCTGGTACGGATGTTCGGCACATGGCGTGGACCGGGTGGGGGCTCCGTTCGCCGCTCCGGATAGATTTGCGGCCTATGGCTTCACTTCATTTGTCCGCTCATATCTAACGTTGGTAGGCATTTGGCGACACTCCGGTGTGTGGAACATCTGATCCATCGTGAGTGGTGTGCTGTGTTGCGGTTTGTCGTGAATTGCTATCCTAGCGTGAGCTTTGATAGATGAGGGCCAAAGAGGATCGATATGGACGACGTCCGAGGGGGGTCAATGAAGAGACTGACGACTAAAAGACCCCATATCTAGTTCAGTAGTGAGCTTCTACGCCGACGATGGAAGCAGGCTCTGAACCTTGTTTGTGTGACCAACAGCCAAGTTGGTAGGGATCGTAGGATCGCAACCTTGGTGTGGTATTATGTCTGAGAATTGAGATCTTCTCACCCTCTTTAAATGCAGCTCCTTTCCCAGCATTTTCTTTCGCCCACACCTAGCACTTGCCTGGTTTGTGATTTGTGCCTGGCCCACCTTTCTTCTTTTGCTCTTGTTGCGATACCGTAACATCTTGAACTATCGTGGTGTTTCAATTCAGCACAACACACCTTTCAGTCCTGACAAGCTCACCCTCTCCTCATACAGTGTCATAATGGCTGAAAAGACATCTCTCGGTTCTGGAGGTGGAAGCCCTGACCCAGAACGTCGCCAATCTGAACTCCAAACCCCTTCGTCACGATGGGCGTCTCTGTTTGGTGGCGAGGGTGTCACTGCTGGACCTCGAATTGCTCAATTGCCCGAATTTGTGAGGCGTGATCTCTCAGACTCTGAGGACTCAAGCTCTGCCATTCTCAACAAACAGCTGGCTGCGGAACAGGGAGAACAGATCCAGTACCGCACTTGCTCATGGCAAAAAACTGCTGGTCTGCTTTTCAGCGAATACATTTGTCTTGCCATCATGAGTTTCCCTTGGTCGTACAGTGTTCTCGGATTGGTGCCTGGTATTATTCTGACGATTATTGTTGCTCTCATCGTTCTCTACACCAGTCTCGTTCTCTGGGAATTCTGCCTCCGCCACCCAGAGATGCGCGATGTTTGCGATATTGGACAGATGCTATTTTGGGACAAGAAGTGGGCTTGGTGGGCAACTGCTGTGTGCTTCATTCTCAACAACACCTTCATTCAAGGTCTTCACGTTTTGGTTGGTGCCAAGTACCTCAACACCATGACCGAAGCCGATGATGTTGGCAGCTGCCGGACCGTTATGTTTTCGGTTATCGTTGCTGTCATAAGCTGGGTCTGCTCCCTGCCCAGGACGTTCGACATGATGGCCAAGCTCGGAACAGCATCGGCTTTCTTCACATTCATTTCCGTTCTGCTCGCCGCCATCTTCGCCGGTATCCAGGATCACCCATTTGGATATGATCCTGCAAAGCTGGGCGAGCCTATTGTCACAGCTATCCCTGTCAAGGGCACGACCTTTGTCAACGGAATGTCCGCTTTTCTCAACATCAGCTACACCTTCATCGGCCAGATTACCCTGCCCAGCTTCATTGCAGAGATGCGAGATCCCCGTGACTTCCCCAAGGCTCTGTGGGCGTGTACGATTGCTGAGATCATCGTTTTCAGTCTCGTTGGAGCCATCGTATATGCTTATACCGGCAACCAGTATGTGACTGCGCCGGCTTTTGGTTCGCTCGAGAACGTGTACAAGAAGGCGGCCTTCTCGTTTATGATTCCCACCATCATCTTCCTTGGCACTCTCTATGCCTCAGTATCGGCACGCTTCGTCTTTTTCCGACTCTTCCGAAACTCCAAGCACTTGAACAGTCACACCCTTGTTGGTTGGGGATCTTGGAGTGGAATTCTTCTTGTGACTTGGATCTTTGCTTTCATCATCGCCATGGTCATCCCCTTCTTTAACTCTTGTAAGTGGCCGTTGGAGAGTTATGGCATCGATCGTTACTAACCGCCACCTTCCAGTGCTGTCCGTTATGTCGTCTCTCTTCGATAGTTGGTTTGGCTTCATTTTCTGGGGAGTTGCCTATTTCCGAATGCGCAAAGCTGATAAAGAGATTGGTCGACGACATGGCAAGATCGCTGATCTCACCGGAAACATTGTTAACCTCATCTTGATTGCGATTGGTATTATGTTTCTTACTGTTGGTACATATGCCAGTGTACAGGGTATTATCGACCAGTACGAGGCTGGCACCGTGGCTGGCGTATTCTCGTGTGCGTCTAACGGTCTTTGAAGAAGAGGAGAGAAGGGGGAAGATGTAGGGAAACACGTTATGCAATGATACCCGAGCTGGAACAATACACGCGGAGTTGGTCTTTCTTGATCGAGACGATGGTGGGTTGCTTTCAGCCACGATCGGTCCCGTTACGTAGAACATGGAATTGTAGAATTGGATCCCGCATGGTAAATCATTGAAATAGAAATCGACATGTCGTAGATGTTGAAGTAAAGTTGAAGTGGAGGTTGAGGCTCTGCCTGAGCTGAACCTTAGCTCAACACCCACGCCAACCAGGTCTTGCCAAGAACGCCCAGAACCTGTCGTCACATGCGCTTTCCCCATTGTTGCATTTCCTTTAAGGCATATTCATATCATAAATTGCTAATCCAGCTCGAGCTCAACGGGAATTAGTGAGGCAACGTTGCTGCTCACTCCAACATACATGTAGGTGTCGATTCTAGGAATTTGACGGCTTTGACCGACCTTGGCATCTGGTGTATTCGGATGGAACCTTATTTGCTTAAGCTACCTTGAGCATTGAACTGATAGTGACACTGAAGAAGCCTTGTTTATTCACCATATACACTCAAGTTGAGTATTTGGGAAAGACACGTTGGCAATATAGTATTCGTATTCGCACTTCATGGGGACCAAGAATCGCATTCTGTTGCATCCTCATCGTGGTGGTCCACCTATCAAGGGAAAAGCCCTACCAGATTGCCGCAATTACGCATCTCGCCAACGGAATCGAGAGAGATAGAGCCAGGGAGTTTCCAAGAAAAACCGAATAATCGTATGGTCCTGGTGTTTATCAGCGGAAATTGACGGTCCCGAATGGCACTACTCGAACCATTTCCCCTCTTGTCGTTCGACAATATTATTCAAAGGATGAAGGGTTTTTTTTTTAATTTTTTAATTTTTCTTTTATAGATTTAATTTATTGATTTATCATTGAGGTTATAAGCAACAGCATCACAGTCAACTCAGCGCAGTGCCAATTGGAATTATCTGAACTATCACTGCTGGGCAATGCTGCTCAATTGCTCATGATATACGCAAATAAAGTTGACCTCAAATGCCACGCCATACAATTCGCCTCTCTGAATGGTCTGCCCGAACATGCCCCGCCTTCCTGAACCCCTCAAAAACCATCCATGATCCATCTGGTGGTCCCCTGAATTTCTCCCCCACCCGCCAAATCTAGCCCCTAACCAATCCATCATTGGCCAGATTCCCAATTAACATTTGGACCTGGATTTTCACCGCCTTCCACGTAGCTTTCTCTGCCCCCTGTTTCCCGTGCCGCAGCTACCAAGGAGGCAAATGTATCACATTCGTTTTTAATTCAACCGTCCTTGCACTTTTTTGTTCTTCGCGGGTTTAGATTTTCTTTCACTTTTTCCAAACTATTGAAGGAAAGATGCCTGCGACGAATTCATCTACGGTCACTTCGAGGGCAAAGGGCGATAGCCCAAGCCCAGCTCCTGCTGCAGCCGAAGGTGCTGATAAGAGCCACGATTTCTTCTGGACATACACGGAGGAGCCTCATCGAACTCGCCGTCTCGCTATTATCAAGGCTCACCCCGAGGTTCGTGCTCTACTGATTGGCCCCGCTGTGTCATGACATGTCGCTAATCTAGCCTCCATCTACAGATCACCAAGCTCTGCGGTCCTGAGCCTCTCACGAAATGGGTCGTCCTCGGTGTCGTCTCCCTCCAGGTCTTCCTCGCATGGATGCTCCAGTCGACTCCTTTCTTCTCATGGAAGTTCTGGGCTGTCGCCTACGTCTTTGGTGCCACTGCCAATCAGAACCTTTTCCTCGCCATTCACGAGATCTCCCATAACCTGGCTTTCCGAAGCGCCCGTCTCAATCGTCTGATCGCTATCTTTGCCAACCTTCCCATTGGCATTCCTTACAGCGCTTCGTTCCGAGTATGTGACCCAGATCGCATTTCGGTATCTGACATAATGCTAACACTCTACAGCCATACCACCTTACCCACCACAAGTCCCTCGGTGTCGATGGCCTCGATACCGATCTTCCCACTGCCTTCGAGGCCTTCGTTCTGGATTCGATTCTCGGAAAGGCCTTCTTCTGCACTTTCCAGATCTTCTTCTACGCCCTGCGACCCATGGCCGTCTACCGCGTTCCTTTGACTGGAGTTCACGCCCTCAACATCGCTGTCCAGGTCGCCTTTGATCTCGTTCTCCTGCAGTACGCCTCTGTCAACTCTCTCCTCTACCTGCTGCTCTCCTCCTTTTTGGCCGGGAGTCTTCACCCTCTGGCTGGCCACTTCATCGCCGAGCACTACGTGTACGAGACCGTGGCTCCCTCCGCTCGCGACCCGGAGAACAAGATCCCTGTCCCCGAGACCTTCTCTTACTATGGGCCCCTCAACTGGTTCACCTACAACGTCGGGCTTCATAACGAGCACCACGACTTCCCCGCAGTGCCTTGGACTCGTCTTCATAAAGTGCGCGAGATTGCTCACGAATTCTATGATGACTTGCCCCGCCACGAGAGCTGGTGCTATGCCATCTGGCGCTTCATCTTCGATGAGAACGTTGGCATGAGTTGCCGTGTCAAGCGTAAGCAGGGAGGACGCCTTGTCGGTGGCGGTGCTGTAGCAGACTGGAAGCAGTCCGAGATCGAGTCGATTTAGAAGCAACGCAAAAGTACATATAAGTCGTTGTAATGCAGATGTTTTGATATTCTGATACGGGTTATGGTATATCAAGGCCATGATCAAACCGAAAACTTGCTGCTTTTGGTAGCTTTTTGGCTGAGCCAGGCGACATAGATTCAGATGAGTATACCATAGAATACAGATATGGCATGGCGTTTAGGGTATGGGCAAAAATGCAAATACAATCTTTTGAGCGATCACAAAACTCAGAGTCCGGCTCTGTGATCTCATGAGCCATCACCATTTGGTTTATGTGTAAAGGCTCCAGACTTTAAGTCCGTAATGTGTAAATAATTGAGCGGCTAGGCTTGCAAATGACCCGGAAACACGAAAGATGAAAAGGAGAGTCGACGAGAGATACAAGTTAGAACTCCAAATTTATCAGTTAACGCAAACAGAATAATACGACACAAGAAAATACGAGAGCCGCGAAAGGCTCAAGGTAAGAGTGTACAGTCAAAGCTCCCGCCTCGGAAGCCACATCCTCCTCCCATCGCTTTTAAACTCCTCAGCGAGGCTTTCATCCTCAGTTGCAAGGTGTCCGAAGTCCTGCTGACCGAACCCACGTTGGCCTAGGGACATGGTCCACTGTCCCCAAGGTACCCTTCCAAGTGGGTTTCGATTCATGCTGAACTGCGAATCCTGCAGTGATCCGCCGATCGTATGATATGCTTCCTGATCCTATGCTTTAGCTTCGCCGTACGTTGAAGATTTATGCATCCGGGGATCCTAAGTCTCCGGCTGAGTTCTCATGAGCGTCGTCAAGCCCGTCTATTAGTTTCGTTTGTCGAAAAGATCCAAAGGCTGTCACTTTCTCCTTAATTCTAGAAGAAGAAATAGGCAAGCAAGAAGCTGACCAAGCAAAGAATGGCCGCCATTTGCACAGGAACACCTTCGACGGTTTGGGTGACAGCTTGGGCGGTCTGGGCGAGAGGTCGTTTATCATCATCGCTGGAGGCGGACTTGACATTGCGCTGTCGAAGACCGCTATCCTTGAGAGCCACGAGCTGCTGCTCGGCCTGGGCAAGCTTAGCCTTGAGCTCCTCATAGGTCAGCTCTGCAGTCTCCTTGATAGCCGTTGTAGCTTGAGCGATAGTGCTCTTGACTTCGGACTCCTCGTAGGTAGATTTGGGTTTCTCATCCTCATAGGCGGATTCTTTGGGCGATTGGTAAGGAGGGGGCGCTGCCGAGGATGAGGGCGACTCGTCTCGAATGCCAGGTGAAGAAAATGTACGCGAAACATCAGGAGTGTCGTTGATCTAGATTTTGCCATTAGTTGTCAACTTCCGGATCCGAGTCGGTGAAACTTACGCCGTTGGCAATAGCTTGCTTGTTAGGGGTGGACAAAGGCCGGTTAGGAGCTTGGTCGGCCTCACCAGCCGCGAGCCAGTTGACTCGAATCTTGCGCTCTACAAGGTGGGCTTTTTCGGTCGTTTCAAGCTGGTGATTGAGTTAGTTTAAAGTCCGGATTGCGAGATCGACTGACTACGTACGACATTCGCAACGCTGGCAAACTCCTTATCGGCGGTAATCGGGGCGGATTGGACAAGGAACTTGTCACGGCACTTAGCGTCAGGAGGGGGATCCTGCTTCATAGCCTGGAGGAGGACTGGGGATCGTTAACGGCTGCCGGCATGCGCTTTTAGGAGCAGACTCACCAGAGACATCGAAGCTCTGACCGGCCTCGATGCGTCCTGCATTTGGTCGAACACAGTATCTAGTGAGGAGACGTCAGGTATGCGATCGGAATGGCTTGGTTAGAGGGGCAAGCATACTGTTTGGGAGCAGTCGTCTTGACCTGTTCTTCTTGTTAGCAAATCCGTCGCATGGGAATCGCTGTCCGACTGACCTTGAAAGCTACGGGGGTAGGGTTGGGGTTCTTCAGAGTCAAAGTCTGGGAGACCTCGGTGGTGAAGGGGCCTAGCAATCCTGTCAATACTCGAAGACCCGTCATCGTCCATCGCAGATCACGCACGTCTAAAAGACAGCTCAAATGGCTCGATATCGACCGACATTTTGGCTTGTTATCGTGGTAGCGGTAATAAAATGCTGAAGTTGTTACGGGTTGTGGTATCGCGCGATGGTTCCTCGGCGGTAACCAAGTGGAAACGTGGCAACGGGAGGTAGAGTACAGTATGAAATGTCGTTCGTTGATTAGCAAAGGGGGGGCGAGTTTGATTAAAGGTAAGTTAAAAGTATAGCAACACGAGGCTGCACCGAGTCGATAAGATTTGGGGAAGTTGGTCGCGTGGGAGAAGGAAGAAATTGGTGACGAAATGAAAGATTAGTAGCAGTGGAGTGTGGTGAGTTGAGTTGATTATACCTGGAAGGGGAACCTATGGAAGGCAGGTTGACGTTGGTTTGCCTGTGTCTTGGGGATCTGCTACGACGTAATTGCTTCTGCTATCGCCCTATTCCCAGTTGAGTCGGTTCAACTTCAGGTGGTTGCTACAGGGTGCACGAGCCATCAGGGGGCTTAAACTCCGCTATCAGTCACTATTGGACCTCTGCTCGCCATTGGTTTCATGGTACTCAGTTGATTAAACACTCTGAAGCAGCACATACCTTATTCTTGACCAAACGTCATCTTTGCATTTTACCTTTTCTGTTTACTCCGTTGTCCTGCAGTTGTCCACTATCTTTGCAGGTCTCCGTTTGCTGTCCACAAAAAGGGGTCTAGCTGGTCCACGATATGCAGGTCCTCCTTGTATTGGTAAGCACCTGAATGGTTGTTCAAGTGTCTCAAATCAGGGAAGTGAGGGCATCATGGCACATGGTTTTAGAACAGATGCGGAGGGCCGAGGCAAACTCGAGGTAACGGAAGGTAGCGTCAGAGCTTGGCAGGTTCGTTAGCGCAGCCGTCATGAACTCTCAATTCTTTGTTGAGCATTGACAAACCGTCTCGAACAGTTTTAATACCCACCTCTATCCCCATATTCATTGACACATTAAAAGACAAGGAATGAGCACAATGATCTCTTGTTTGGAGAGCAAGTTGCATTAATGGTTTGGGGCCATCAAATGAACATGACTTTTGCAACATTCGCCGAAGGGGTTGGGAGAATGTGTCGTTATCTGCAACTCATGAACAATGAAACTCGAGACCATTTGGCCAGAGGACTATAATAACTGTTCAGCAAGGCCCCAGTTTATTTACTCTCCCTTGTCTAAGCACTCCCGTCACTTGTAATCAAGGTCTCGAGTTTGCCCGCTTCTAAGCTGAAGCAGCTCCCTCAACAAGCGCATCAGTCATGGATTATATGAGTGAGTCGTTCATCGACGCAAATTCGGAATTTGCTGCCCAAGGTTCGCTGCATATTCTCCAACATTTGAGACTCGACAGGCTGTGCAACTCCAGAAGGAAAAAAATCTTCAAAGTGGTGAAACCTACAGTGCAGTGTATTGACTCTAAATGCTGACAAGAAGGTGGTCAGCTCGTGGGTGGTGGTGGCCGGTAGTTATAGGGCTTGGGCTTGGGCTGTGTGCAAACATCACCAACCGTTACTCAACTCAGGCAAGGGAGTGTTTTATTGATGAAGTTTCGCGGTTGGTGCGATGAACGATTTGACTAAATATCACGATATGTTAATCAACCGCTCACACTCAAAACAACCATAGCCTAGGTAGCCTCAGGGAGCAAGAAAACTCAAGACTTGAGCAGAAGGTGCTAAAATAAACTTGGTTAAAAGTCATCCACATCTAGGCTAGATTTACCTAAATAATTCTGTCGCTTAGTGTCAAAGTCCTGAGTTTTCTTTCCTCCCCTAGCCTAGCAACTGATGGAGGGATAAGAAGTCTAAAAATATCCTAAACATTGAATTCCGACGCTACGGATAAGTCAGACTCAGCCTACCACAGTCCTCCAAAGCCAACAAAAAGGTGGAAAGCTAGGCTCACAGGAACGCCATCTGCGGGTAGGACCCTCGTATTTGATCGACACGAGGCGGTGCCACGGGCGGCTACTCCATTGTCTCTGCTCCTACGTTACAGTAGAAGTAGAGAATCATCCTGCGGCTGACTGAATTCTTCTGGAACAACCGCTTATGGCGCAAATGTGTGTGTGCTACTCCTGTCTTAAAGGTTGCAATAAGGCTATTCGGCACTTGGCTTTGGTATTTATACGAACAGATCTCCAGAGTCAGGTGGACTGAATCCGAGAAGATCACCTCTTTATACGATATCTAGATAGATCTCTCGTATGTCTTGCAGTATAATACTCGAAATTTGCCCAATATTGCTTCAACTTATCCTTGCACAACTCTCACCACTTTCATCATGGGCTGCAACAACTCTCGCCACATCCTCGAGATGGAGTCTCGACCTATCCGTCCTGTGACCATCTCAAGCCATTCAGTTGGCTCTGTCATGGCTCCCTCGTCTATCTTTCAAGACTTCCCTGAAACCTCAGAGTTGAGTCGACAGCAGATCATCGACGCTTTCCAACATATGGCCGAGTACCTGAACGAATGTGGTACATATGTGAACTGTGCTGTCGTTGGCGGTGTTGTGAACACACTTTATCTGCGTCACAGAGAGACAACACCTGATGTCGAGTTCCTCCTTCACGATCCTGCCTCGAAAGAGTACATCACACTCAGCAATGCTGCCAGTTTCGCCAACAAGAAGGCTCAAGGAACTCTCGGGGAGCAGTGGTTCAACAACTCGATGCAATTCTTTGTGCCTCGAAATGTCCAGGTCGATATTCTTCAATGGGCCAAGGACCAGCATGAAGTCATCTTCGAGCATCGCGGTAACTACGGCGGTTTGACAGTTTACGCTGCTCCGTGGGACTATGCGTTGTGCAGCAAACTCAACAGTCTCTACGACAACATTCGAGCCGATGATATGGAGGATGCAGTCGCATACCTACATCGATATCTGACTCTTACTCGCCAGGAGTCCCTCAATGGAAACCAAGTCAACGACTGGTGCAGGAAGTACCATCAAGATGTTTCGCGAGAGGTGCTGAATCGTCTCGGAGAGGCATATGCTCGAAAACACGGTAGCTGGCCACTTCAGTGGTGAAGACGGCTACAGGAGGATCAAGATTTTGTTGGATGTTAGATATAGGCGGCATGAACTTATGATGATACCCAAAGCTCATTAGCGAGCCCACTTAATGATAATACTTGTTTGAATCGATAGATGCGTTTGCATATTTGATGTTTGTGAACCGTGATTTCGGGAAGCTTTTCTCTCGTAGATGCTCGTTGTTTGAGCGAGCATAGATTTTCCATTTCTCGAGTGTGTCGGACTGTAGGTATGTAATAAGGTCTTGAGTTGTACTACATCATGAGAAGAGAGAGAAATCGAAACATCAGACATGATTACACCCGTGCTTAACCGTAGTAAACCCGGCGACGTCACTGAGGCGGCGGCTTGAATGACGTTCTCAGGCTTTACCTAAGCTTTGGTTCCAGCATCAAATGACAACTCAGTGCAAAAGCATATCCCACGACTTATTTACGACTGGGAATTTTTGCCTGTCAACCAATTTTCTGATACTAAAATAATCAAGATCTAATCTCTTCATTCTTTCCATCTTCATCTACTCAACACATCAACAGTTGCCCCTCATCCAACCCCACTATCACCAACTGTTACCAAGCAACACCGCCAACATGCCTTCTGATCTCGATACCCTGCTCGATATGGGCTTTGACAAGGAGCGTGCTGAGATTGCCGTCAAGAAGACCGGAGGCCGTAAGCCACACATTTCGATGACTCGTGTCAGGCTAACTTTGCTAGTCCAAGGCGCTCTTCAGTGGCTTGAGGATAACCAGGACAAGCCTATTGATGAGATCAAGGCTGCTGCCGCTGCGAAGGAAGAGGATGACGACGAAGAGGACACGGAAGCCAAGATTGCAGAGCTTGAGACTGGTACTGCCAAGTCATTGATCTGCAATGATTGTGGAAAGAGATTCAAGAACCATGATCTGGCTACCTATCACGCGACCAAGACGTATGTGAAACTGGCACAACTATCTTCTGGGGGATTCTTGGCTGACTGAGACTACAGTGAGCATACTGACTTCTCGGAGTCAACAGAGGAGATTGCACCCCTAACTGAGGACGAGAAGAAGGCCAAGCTTGAACAACTTCGCGAGCGCCTCGCCGCCAAGAGAGCTCTTCAATCTGTCAAGGACAAGGAAGACCACAAGCGCAACGAGGTAACACAATCATCCAGTCGCACCCCTCCTCAGTTCTAACCTGTCGTAGCAAATTCGCCAAAAGTCTACCAAGGAGAGCCAGGAAGCAAAGGAAGAGCTGGCCCGCAAGCAAGCAGTCAAGGAAGCAGCTCAGAAACGACAAGAGAAGCTGGAGGACCTGGAAGCCAAGAGGCGCATCAAAGCAAAGATCGAGGCCGACAAAGCTGAGCGACGTCGAAAGGCAGAGGAGGCCAAGGCAGCCCGTGAGGGTCGAGCCCCTCAAGTCGAAGCTGCTACTCCTGGTGGCGCTGCTGCTGTCGCGGCCGCATCCAAGCCAAAGACCAACCACAATGAGGCCCGACTTCGACTACAGACCGACGGCGGAAACATCACCAAGACCTTGCCCGCTGAGACCACGTTGTTCGAGCTGGCGCAACAGCTACAGAGTGAGACGGGGAATGCTGTGTCCAGCTTTACGACTACGTTCCCTCGCAAGACCTTTGAGGGTGACCTCGATTTCTCCAAGACTCTGAAGGAAGCGGGATTAGTTCCGTCGTCCGTCCTGATCGTCAAATAAATTTATGACGTAGACCTGAAAGAGTGTGCATGGCGCGGCGTTGGTGGGGGACATGAGAGATGAATCTGTCGTACTACGAAGAACAGAAAAAAGTCCTTTAGGTAGAGTTAGAGCAGACAAGAGGACGACGATATTCGTCCTGATCACAATCACAATCGCTGGCACTTTGGCGAGATAGTCACACTTTGAAGAAAACCCAGTTGAACTCAAACCACCCATGGCGGGACTTTTTTTTATCAGAGCCGTATGAATTGACCAATTCTCCCTCCGCGAAACTCCGTTGAGTGCGTTCCTCATAGCATCGTATGTAAGAAGCTACTCTGTCCAGGGCGCAGGTTACAGTGCCCGCTCTCCATCCTGTATGATCGATCGATTGGAAACCCCGAAGCCATGCAGTCGAAGTACAAAGAACAAGGAAACAGTCGTAGCGGCGTAACTTCTTAGTCGAAGAGACCGAAGCCCATGTCCTCGTCAGACTCCTCCTTCTCTGTAGTGGTTGTCAGCAATCCGCAGTCAGTCGTCGAGCGTCGTGGGTAGACATACCCTCCTCCTTGGCCTCCTCAGGAGCAGCCTCCTCAGCGGCACCACCAGCAGCGGCGGCACCACCGGCGGCAGGGGCAGCACCGCCACCGGAGCCGACGTTCACGAGAAGGTCCTTGACATCCTTGCCCTCGAGAGCCTATTCAAATAAAATCCGTCAGAAAATCGAAGTCCTGGATATGCATGGGCGCATTAAAATCGCTGGGGCTATTCGGTTCGTACCTTGGCGAAGATGGAGGTCCAGATGGGCTCAACCTCCTCGACCTTGGCGGCCTTGATGAGGGTCTGGAGCTTGTCGGCCTGCAAAGTCGCGATGACGATGTTAGCTATCAATAACCTCAAACACGGGCACACAAAACGTCGACGGAATCGCGGGGTTAAAACGTACGGTGATCTCAACACCGTCGTCGGCGAGGATCAGGGCCGCGTAGGACGAAGCGAGCTCGGCGTGAGACATTGTGAATGATTTTGACGTGCGGGTGGGAGATTGTAAAGTCTGCACGAAGTCGAGTCGGTTGTAGTTTGAAGTCGGGATATCACCAAATGGGCTTACCACAGAAAATCTGGTCGAAATTCGGCTGGAGGGCTTCAAGACCTAAAGGAAAAGTGGAGGCAGGAGCGATCGATATGAATTAATCCGCTCCGTGGGTGCAAGAGTGTGAGTCACGCCTTTGATTGGGTGCAAGGTAACGAACCAATGAGATATGTTTCCAAGAATGCAGTGAATTGCGGCGCTTTTTACCCCACCTTAGGGAACCAGACAGATTTGACAGAAGACATCATAAGAGCATTGTTAATGAAGATATGATGATAAGAGTAATTACAATTTTAATATCATGAACCATAAAGTCTCCAGACCTATAATTGTCTAAGTGAATGAGATAGTATCCAACCTTACTGACGTCTGATTTTATTCAAGACCAATCCCCCTCAACTCCCTCTTGTCTCTCCCTTGCCCACCATCGCTTGTTGGGAAACCCCCACTAGCAAACAGTCCAGCTTAGCCGTTGCCGTCTGGCTCAATACCGTAGCGATAACGTAGGGCGTACCGCGTACGGTAATAGGTGAAGCGACTGCAGGACCTGATGGAGGGGTCGGTCTAGGCCTTCCTTCCAGTTGCCATGATTAACTAAGTGACAACATGCGTTCTTGGTCGAGGCAAAGATGGGAAGGGCAGGTGAATTAACTGTAGCCGTGAAACGTTTCTCCACGATCTACCATTCGCTAGTCAACTTCTTCCACCATCAACTATTTCATCATCCATTGCATTCTTGTCTCCGCATTCTCTCTCAAGACTATCATTCTTCATCCACCGCTTAATTAATATCTTGTGACTTGTATCGCGCCTACCTACGTGAGTTAGTTCATCACGACCTCCCCACCAAAAGCCGACTCAACTTCCCTGGATCGTGAGCCCCGCCGCCACTCGTCGTCTTTCGTCACTCATCGGAGCCTCGGAGACCTGCGCAAAGCACAAACAACAAGCCAATACACGTCTAAGCTCAATAGTGACGGGTTACTACTCTTTCGACCCTTTACATCACACAAACCTCTACGACACCCCCATAAGAAGCTCGGAAACGGCACACATCAGCATGGAGACTCCAGCAATCCCAATGCCGCGGGACCCCCGGGAGCAAGTTATCCTCGAGAAGCTACAGCTGGTCCGAGATCGCCTACTGCTTCTGAAACAGGATCGCACAAACTACATTCGAACTCAAGATGTCATGCCATTGTTTGATGAGACCATGGATCAGGTCAAGGAGCTGGCGATTGTGCGCGCCGAAACAGGCGATAAGGAGGAGAACAGATGTATGTCACCGTCTTCATCGCATCCAACCCCGAGTATGCTAACAAATTTATTTCCAGTGGACAAGGTCTTGGAGAGCTGCTTCCAGCTGCTGTCCCTATTCTACCTGACGATCGGACGAAACAATGAGGCACCAGCAACATACGCTATGACCTCAACTGTCAAGCGACTACTCGACCACCTCACTGAAGCCGAGCTCTACTCAGCCAAGGATCTTGGAAGCATCCAGTCTACACTTGAAGATCTGTCTAAAAGCATCAAAGATGCCGCTACTGACCCATCGCCCGACAAGCGACACCCTCCATACATGCTTGCACTACTTGAGAACCGCGTTGCGCTCTGCAACTCAACCTTGTCGCGACTTCAGAAAAGATTGGAGCGGTTGCCAGATTACTTGTTGGAGGCTCATGAGAAGCTCATTTCGATCCTGCGATCTATCTCGTTGGCCAACACCAAGTCCAAGGTAAGCGAAGCTGGAATGGAATGGAGTGTTCCGAAATTTGCTAACGTCAACTAGTTCTCCACATCCGAGGTCAAGAAGTTACGGAACCAAATCTTGGAAATTGGCGAAAAGCACAACAACGGCACATTTACCGCAGAGGATGGAACTTTGGAGGAGGGAGGTGAAGTGCTTAAAGACTTGTATCATCGCTGTGTCCGCTGGTCGGACATGGTTCTTGAGAGGTGAGATGACCAACACTTTACATGAATGTCCACTGACACTTTAAAGACAAGGAGAAGTAGCTGAGCAATGGCGACCAATCTACGATCAGCTCATCCAAATTCGCAACGACCTCGAGAAGCTTTCTCTTACACAAGCATGGTCGCTTCGAGAGACGGATTTGTACGATTTCCAACGGCAACTTGACAGAATTGATGAGAGCCGACAGAACGGAAACTGGGTGGACGATCGGGGGCGACCAGCTGATCTCTGGACACAGCGAACTTTGCTCTATCTGATCCGACGGTCTTATGCGTACATCTACTCATTTATGCTGGCATCCGAACCAGTGTCTGAGGCTCTGTTGCCTGTTTACAACCAACTGCAGACACTGAAGCGTTGCCTCGTTGAGGTCAAGAAGAATGGAGGTGTATCTTCTGTGCGGGAGCTTTACCCCTATAGCATGAAGGTATGTTGATACATCGTGGCATAACCTGGGTATTTCTAACATGAAACAGCTTAACTCGTTAGATAACATGAAAGTTGACGGCAAGTTTGTGGTAAATGGCGACATCCCCGAAGGACAAGGCAGTGTTACCGGACTGTTGGCCGAATGCTTTGATCTGAACTACGAACTGAGAGTTGCAGCCGAAGAAGCAGCCGAGAATGGTTCAAATGGCAACGAAGCTTAGTCCACGCAGGATTTTGGTGGCTGGCCATACCAAAGGAGCATGGATATGTCAGTGTACGATGGCGTTTACTATCACTTGAATTGGAATTGGAATTTTATAGGTCAGATAGCTCTTCCTCGCGGTTTTTGGTAATAGCTTTAGCTCGCTTTCATCGAGCTGGTAATGACATCGGTATGCAGGGGTTGTTGAGGGCTGGTATTATTGGCAAAGCGGCAGGGAACGAACGAATGATCACAAAGATTCGAGGTCAGCAATCTACGGATGGACAACAGGTACATCATGGTAGCGGACCATGACAACTAGCACAAATAGTATCAGTTCGCTGTTTTGAAAAGGGTCTCTATCGTGGCTCTACGCGAAAGGTATTGACTTTGTGTATTAGTTCATTCTGAAGGCGGCCTTGAAGGGGTAGATCTGGACCTGTATATCAGATTAGCAAATTTATTTGGAATGGATTCGCGTTCTATTTACCTTGTCCATATCCCAGACGCCTGATGTAGCATAGATGTCGTTGCTGAGTTGCTCTCTGACCTCTTCTACGGATTCAGCGATGCAGACAAGGGTGCTGCCAGCAAAGTCGAGGCTGTCAACACTGTCGTCTTTGGGAACACTGTTTAGAATGGCACCTGGACAAAACATTAGTCTCATTGTTAGGGTCCAGCTCCTAGGCCTGAGTGGATGAGAATACAGACCTCCCATCTTCCAGCTTCCATTCTCAACGTTAGGAACCATGTTCTTGAAGTGGGTTCTTCGGCCTGTCAGCTCAAGCCACATATGGTACAATATCAGAACAAAGCTCACCCTCGAACCTCGAGTCTCTTCTCGCGAACGTTGGGCTTGTCATGGACGACAACGAGAAACTCGTACTTTCCGGGAGGGACGGTAACAGATGAGGAAGCCATTGTTCGGAATGTAGTGAAGCGAGGTGCAATTCTAGCTCTAGAAATTGAGAATGCAAGACGAGAGTTCATGTTTTGGGTTATGGTGATGTTGTATTTATGCATCGAATGGAGGATAAGGTGATACAGACGGAGATGGGCTCCGAGTTGCGGGGTGGTGATTGCCGTGATTGGCGGGGKAAGTTTTGAAGGGCGTAGGAGTTGACGATGATAGTGCGCCTTTGGGGTGAAGGAGTGGATTATCGTGTCTTGGCTTATAATTCCAATGCTGGGGTTTGCTCTTTTCAGTGGAATTACTTGAATTGGCACGAATAATGAGCTCAATGGCTAACTGTGAGGTACTCGGAGAGCTACCACTTATCTGGCTATATAGTTTTGCTGGGACAACTACTGTATATAGCAGGAAAGTGGAAATTACAAACGTTTCTGGTCGTCATGAATGCTCTCTCTGTGGCTTTGTTCCTGCAGTGTCATCATATATCAACTAATCAAGCAGAAATGAAGGTCATTCTCATCGTCCTTCCCGTTCACACGCCTCGGTTGGCCATCCTCGCAAAAGCAACTTATTTGGAAGAGGATTACAAGTGAACAAATAGCTAGTCTGAGGTTGGGATGGCCTCCTCGTAAAGTATCCCATGTCTTTAGGGTAGGATCGTCACTTATGGCTACAACTTGTTGGCGACTTATCGTACTCTGAGAACTAACATGACTACTACTAATACGATAATTTACCCAAGCCACATTAGATCTCATCAGTGCTCGGCAAATACGGCATCCAAAGTATTCACAAGGTCGTTGCAGATCGGAGAGCGGAATAAGCTGGCGGAATCTCCTTCAGCACTCCCCCGTTATCGTTTATAACAACTCAAGATTCTCATTCTTTTCTCTCATCTTTTGAATCTCCAGGATCAGATTGCCCAAAAAGACAAGAGGTCAGGATTTTCCATCAGTATATCACCGACACGAAGCCTTCACTAGCTTTCGACGGAATCGCAAGGCACTTCTGGGTGACGGCTCTGAGTCGTCTAGCTCGCATCTGACGCCCTGCTTTACTGCACGTAACCTGGTTGCAGTGCTACCAAAACGCTTCGACGATACGATACAGGATGATATGAAATTACGTGAGAACCTTAAGTTGTTAGTCGTGATCGTCGACACCAGTGCAACTCCGCCACTACACTATCATCATCGCTTACACCTGCTCCAGGTTACCTATGATTGGCCGAAAGATGGTTTCATCGAATTCATTTCCTCATTGGGATTCGACGTCGAAATTGGCTCCTATAGTGAAGAGAGGCAGTGTTGAAGAGGCAGCCAGAAATGTAGTTGCTGCAGTAGTATAATAATGTAGCAACATTCGTGCTCTTGGCAGTTTTATCAGACAGACATCACAGCTCACTTATAACGATCTCAATCTGTTTCATCCTCTCAAAATGACAGACTCTATCTCAGCGGCTAAGCTAGCCATTTACATTATTCTCCTCCAACCTGCCCTGTACTGCCTCTTTAAGCATGGAAAGACTGGATTCATAGGATGGCTTTACGTCCAGATATTCTGCGTGCTCAGAATCGTCACTGGTGGCATTGGTCTCCACGAAACCAACAGCTCAACTGGATCGATTATACTTAACAGTATTGGTCTTTCTCCCTTACTGTTGGCAGCTTCTGGCATCTTGCATGAGGCGTTAGTACTCCTGTTTCCATTGACATCCCTGTCTTTGTTAAAAGTCATTTAGCCGTCGTGGAACAAACCCTAGACTCAACAGAAAACTTGACATCATTCTCGAGATCAAGTATCATGGTCTTGTTGGAGCAGCTATGGCTCTCATCATCGTGTCTGTTGTCGGGTTACAAAGTGGCAACTCTGTTTCCACCAACAAGACCTTGCTCAAGGTTGCGTCTGCACTCATCGCATTAGCATGGTTCCTTCTCGCGATCTGGGCTTTGTGGTCCTTAGGAAAGTGTCAAAGACTCTCTACGAACAACCGTGTATCTTCCTTTCGCGGCGGCAAGCTAGTATGTTGAATCCCCTACCATCACCAAGATCGAGACGTGGATACTAACATTTCCAAGCTCATGTATGCAGTCTTTATCAACCTTCCTCTCCTTGGATTGCGCCTTGCCTATGGTATCGCATACCTCCAGCTCAAGATATCGCACCCAACTTCAGGTTTCTTGACCTCGAAAGCAGTTCAAGTCTGCCTAAGTGTTGTACCAGAGATGCTTATTACAACGATATTCCTCTTGGTTGGAGTTGTGACACGAAATCTGAAGCATGAGATCAAGAAACTTGACTCTGCTCTTCCAGTTGGTGACGAGTACGAGATCCGAAGGTGACTAGTCGAGGCGTAGTGATGAGCACAGCGTCTATGATGTTGAAGGATATACATATGGGGTTTCGATATATTTGTCTACGATGGAAACTCGGGACCAATAACATCGACCGAAGATGTTGGTGCAAGTGGGAGGAGATTATCTTTGTACCCAATACTGGTGTATCTGTATCAATGTAGATTTTATTATTTGTTAGAAAAGCAATTCTTTTTGTCGACATAAACCATTGTCCTTTCAGACGTCCGACCGCTCCGGTACTTCTCATTACATATAGATGTCCCATGGCATTGTTCTCATGAGCAATTGACTCATGTTGAAAAAGCAGAAGATCGCCGATATACGGAGATGGGGACGAAGCTGAAGCCGTACCCCGTCGATGAGGTCAAATGATGATGTATTTGTCTCCAGGGGTAGCTCTGCTAAGCGAGCGAATACCTGCTTGGACCCTGACCTAACAACGAGACCCTGTTTTTAAGCAGTCGATGCATGCCATCGGGAAGCTCGGCGAACCTGATTCTGTCTTGTTCCCGAGATTGTAAAACTTTCCGAAAACTCAACGTCACAGGAGCTGACTTGTAATACTTCTGTGTTTTGGGCTTTATGATGGGATATCTTTTCTTTTGTTGAGGTTTGTCTGCATCGTATGTCATCATGCTATGTGATATCCTTGCTAGTAAGATGGACATGGTGGGTATATCGTGCCATGATAGATTTCTGGGGTCACAGTATCTGGGGACGGAGACCACGGTGAAAGCGGAAATTGTATCTTTTCTTCAGTCTTCAAAATTTTGACACAGAAATTTTCATATCATGAGTTCAAAATTTACATCATAACTTGTTTTGATCGGCGACTACCGGACGGGCCGGAGTTGTTAAACCCGGACTGGCTCCGCTTCAGCTCCGAAGGCTTCGGCGTTGGTTCTCCGTACTGCGCAATTCGCCCCCCACGGGGATCTCAGGTCTCGAGATGAACCGAGTGAATTCGGCTCGAAAAGAACTGAATGGGTAATAAGTCTTGCTTGCTAATCTTGGGCCTTCGTTCGCCTTACGAGTAGTTCAGTCACACCACTTATGACAAGCCAGAAGTCGCGCAATTGTTGGCGGGGGACGGGTCCAATTTAGACATCTATAGTACTTACGGAGAGGTCACCTGGCAATTGGATTGTGTCAGTGGAGGCTCGTGCATGAGGTGGGATCTAAATGTGATATAATATCTCAGCTTCACCCTCTTTCTTTTCCCAACCATACTCACACAATTGAACAAACATACCACTACTATTCAACAATTACAAGCAAAAACACACAACAACCTATGCCATACATTCTACCTGAAAACCACACTTACCTCCCATCCCCATACAAACTGCGGAACCAACCCATCATGGCTCCCTCAGTCTACATCCTCCTCCAGCGCGATACAGAGTCCAACGTCACAGTCACCTCTGTATTCCTCGATCTTCAAGATGCCAACGCTGCTCTACTCCATGCGGCACAAGAAGCTGGCGTTGACCCTGCTAGCGCCAAGCCCGCAGACGGAGACGCCAAGGACTCACTCACCAAGGCACCGCTGCGATGGGAGACAGCCGATGGCACAGCGGCTTGGGTTGAGCGACACACTGTGACCAACAGAAAGGTTCAGGCGCCGGGCGCTGAGAAGCCCGGGCTAAAGAGGAATGATAGTCGGTTGTACATCAACGACGACGATGATATCATTGAGGTTGCTGACCATGATGGCCACTACGATTAAGGGAAAAAGATACTGGATATTTGCGATTAATGCGGAGGAGTTGGTCGGCATCTTACGGGACGGGATATAGAACGAGGGGGATATGGGGGAGGTCATTGGTCACGATCATGGCCAGCGAATAAACATGCTAGACAGCGTGGGATAAATCGATTTCAGCCGCATCTAAATAGCGATGCTCTATCAATGTTGGAAACAATTTCTATCCAACTTCTTCTAGAACCCTCTTCCTGTAATCTTCTAAGTGTGAAATCTAATGCGACTGCGAAACAAATACAACATTTACAGCTTCGCCTTGGGAGCGCTCATCATGGTCTCGGCAACGATTCTTCGCTGGATCTTGCCAGTTGCGGTCTTGGGCATGATCTCAGTGAAGTAGATCTAAGTCACTGTTAGCACTTCCATTCCCTACTTCTTAAGTATATTGCAAGGAAAATTCACCTTCTTGGGCACCTTGAACTTGGCAGATCGCTCAGCGACCCAAGCCTTGAGCTCCTCAGCAGTCAACTTCTCGCCGTTCTTGAGGACAACAGCAACACCGATATCCTGACCATAGACCTCGTCAGGAATAGCAAAGCTGACAGCCTCACCAATCTTAGGGTGACGGGTCAAGACGTTGTCCAGCTCAATAGGACTGATCTTCTCGCCGCCCTTGTTGATAAGCTCCTTGATACGGCCGGTGATGATAATGTATCCGTCCTCATCCTTCTTGCCCTGATCGCCTGTTCGGAAGAAACCGTTCTTGTGGTAGGAAGAGGCATTGGCGGAAGGATTGTTGAGGTATCCTTTGGTGACGTTCTCACCAATGATGCAAATCTCACCCTCAGAGCCTTGGGGAACCTCCTCGCCCTGCTCATTGAGAATCCTCACCTCAACGCCCTGACCAATACCAACAGTTCCGGCCTTTCTCTTGGCGGGAGGGAGAGGGTTGGATGTCATCTGATGAGCAGCCTCAGTCATAGCATAAGCCTCGAGAACGGGGGCGTTGTAAGTCTCCTCAAGTTGCTGGAAGACGGTGGGTGACAGAGGGCTGGAGCATGATCGGATGAAGCGAATTTCGGGCTTGGGGCTGGGAGGAGGGTTCTTGAGAAGAATCTGGTGAATCGTAGGAACGGCAGTGTACCAGTTGGCCTTGTGGGTGTTGAAGTCAGTCCAGAACTCGGAGGCCGAAAACTTGGTGGGAACGATCATAGAGCCACCGGTGAAGAGAGGAGCGAGGAGACCGCAGAGAAGGCCGTGGACGTGGAACAGAGGCATGACCAGCATGGTTCGGTCCTTGGGTGTGAGTTGGTATGTGTTCTTGATGTTGTCTATAGCAGAGTTAGTATATGAAGTGAAATGGGGTGTAGTATATCATACTCATGGTTCGGGTCAGGTTGCGGTGAGTGAGAGGGACCTGTTCATGTGAGTATAAGCTGTCAATGAAAATCACAAGAAAATCTACTCACCACCTTGGGTCGCGAGGTAGTGCCGCTGTCAATTTGTTAGTTCTGAGCTTATCATGGCTATCATGAGAACTTACCTGGTGTGAAGGATAAGAGCAACATCATCAGGCTCAGCTGTGAGAACCTTCTCCTTCTTCCCCTTGAGAAGACCATAGTCCTTGACATCGAGCGCAACCTCGCCCCTGGCAGCATCCCAATAACACTCAGCAACAGCAGCGTTGAACTTCTTGGCAGCCTTCACACTGGCCGCACCAGCAGCCCAAGCTCCCTTGGGAACAAGCACGATAGCGCTCTTGACATCTTCGATGTAGAACTCAAACTCATCCTGCTTATAAGCCGGGTTGAGAGGGGCGGCGATACCGCGCTGCCACGAAGCAGCGAGGAAAGAGACGATGAACTCGTACGAGTTGACGAGCGCGATAGAAACAGGCGCGGCTTTTGTGATGCCGAGATCGGCGAGCTTGCGCTGGAAGGCGGACACGTCGGCCTCGAGGTTGGAGTAGCTGATGGTGAGGGCCTTGGGCTTGGATGGCACGATAATGGCCTCTGCGAGCGGATTGCTCTTGTCAATGGCTGTTTGGAGGGTGAGCGCCATGGTGATTAGGTAGGTAGTTAAGTGAGAGAGATTGAGGTTTTGGTCTTGGCAGGGGTATCGCTGATAAGAAGAAGAGAGGCAGTAACTGAAATTGACAACAACTGATGATGAACAAGTAGAGTTGAGAGAACGGTTTTAGATACTAGTAGCAACGGTCTGATAGTTTTAGTTTCGCATAGGGGAATTTTAGGAATAGTTTACATGACGTGCTACTGCTACTACTCAACTGTTGTTACTGCTGGGCCATGTCCCGGGGGTCGTTCGGCTTCCATCCGAGCCGACCACCCGCCGAACTATGTCCACTGCCAAGTGGATTATCAGCCAGTTTTACGCGTCTCTCTTTTCTTGGTTTTGGGCCCTGAAGGTCAGTGTTGCCTTGGAGATGTATCGGCGAAATATTCTGAAGCAGATTGTCATAGAGGACCCTGTATCATCGTAGCCCCTGAGTCTGATTACTTCTTGGCTGCTGGGCATTAATCTTGAGGCGTCGAAGCTGTCAGACGAGCACTACTCCGTACTGGTAACAGTTGGTTAGCATATCATATCTAGCATGGATATATCTTGTTTGTACGGAGTAGTCCGTTGCATTGATGTAAATTGGTAATGGTGATGCCCGATTCGACCCCTGACATATCCATCATGACACATTTTCTAGAACAAAGTCAAGAGTCAAGACGTCAAACTGTCTGTACCTACATGAATGCGACTCTGACAAAGGTTTATGCGGCTCAGACCGGAAATCGGCAAAGTCTTCCCAAGCCTAAATTGAAAAGGATCTCGAGCTTGCTCCAACAGTCGGGGCTCTCCATCAATTCCTCGCTGTGGCGTATGATGGGGGCGCCCCCAATATTTCTTCATTGGCGGGGTTTTAGGCTCTCAATGCTGTAAATTAGTGACGCTAGAGCCCAAACTGACCACCTGCAGGGTTGAACGGGCATGTTCTTTCGGCTGCCCACGCGGCGCGGTGCGGCGGCGCCTTCTTCCTTCTTCGTTAGTCTTGTTCTACCCTTCAATTGAAAGTTACCTTAGGTACCTTCCATTTAGTTACCTTATACTGTATCCTCATAAGCTGCGCCTCATCTTCCCCCGCTATCGTTGGCTGTCATTGTCCATTATAACCTCACTTTTACAAATAACTTTCAATTCCAAACTTATTTCCATAGCTGAGGCCGTTTTCTCTTGATACATCCTCAGCCTCGAATCTGCGATCTCGTACATGTCTCCGTCTCATCCGCGCCGACCGATTACCCCTCGCTCCTGAGATCGATTTGAATACACACGTTGCCCATCATGGCTGAGGTGGACGCGATGCCCACCTTTGGCTCAGAGCTCAAGGTTGGTTGCCTACTTGGCTGAATATAGCCTGCCATTGATAGTGCATCGTTTTGGCCTCCTTTTTGTCTTGCGCCTGCATTGGAAGCTCCTTTTGCATGCTCTCTCAGCATTCGCATGGCTAACAGAAAGCGTCCTAGGATGGCTTCAAACCCGCGAACGCATGGCTCGGTCACGGCATCGCCTGGCTTGAAGACATACAGCAATTCTACCGCGAGCGCGCAGCCATCGAGAAGGAATATAGCGCAAAGCTTACAGCACTTGCCAAGAAGTACTTTGACAAGAAGAACAAAAAGACGGCTCAGCTCAGTGTAGGAGACACTCCTGCCATGACGCCCGGCTCGCTCGAAAGGTACGAACGTGATATCTCATGAGTTGGCATGAAAGCACACGCTGATCACTGTGCGACCACTACAGTGCTTCTTTGACCACATGGACAACTCAGCTTACGACGCTCGAATCCCGCGCCAACGAACATGACCGATACGCCAACAATCTTATTTCTCAGGTCGCTGAGCCGCTCAAGTTCTTTGGCGGCCGTTTTGAAGAATTGCGCAAACGACACTCCGATTACGCCACCAAGCTCGAGCAGGAGCGCGATGCTTCATATGCCTCGCTCGCCAAGACAAAGGGTAAATACGACACAGTCTGCCAAGAGGTCGAGTCTAAGCGTAAGAAGACCGAGTCGCATTATGACAAGGCCAAGGCTCAGAATGCCTACACACAACAGCTATTCGAGATGAACAACGCCAAGAACACCTATATCATCGCAATCAATGTTACCAATAAGCAGAAGGAGAAATATTACCACGAATATGTCCCCGAGGTTATGGATAGTCTACAGGATCTTAGCGAGTTTCGAACGACCAAGCTGAACAGTCTCTGGACTGTTGCGACAAACCTCGAGTCTGACATGCTGCAACAAAGCAACGGCATGGTCCAACACCAAGGCACCGAGATTCTGAGGAACTTGCCCCATCTCGACTCCATGATGTACATCCAACACAATATGGGAGCTTTTAACGAACCACCCGACAAGCATTTCGAGGCCAGTCCGGTTTGGCACGATGATGGCACCATGGTGGTTGATGAGACCGCAAAGGTCTTTTTGCGCAACGTATTGGGCAAGTCCAAGTCGCAACTGGGAGAACTACGGAGGGAGGTTGATAAGAAGCGACGAGAGGTTGAAAGTCTCAAACAACTCAAGCAACGAGTAAGGGAAGGAAAAGAGAAGAAGGACGAGGTGGAAGTTGTTCGCATACTCTTCTCTATGCAGGAAGATCTGCATTCTATTGACCGTCAAAGACTGACGGCCGAAGTCGAAACATCAACGATCACATCTGTGGTGGGTGATGTGACGCTGGGTGCGAAGAACCACAACTTCAAAAGTCAAACGTTCAAGATACCCACGAATTGTGATTTGTGTGGAGAGAGAATCTGGGGACTGAGCGCAAAAGGCTTCGACTGTCGAGACTGTGGCTACACATGCCATAGCAAGTGTGAGATGAAGGTGCCTCCCGACTGTCCTGGCGAACAGTCCAAGGATGAGCGCAAGAAGCTCAAGGCCGAACGCCAGGATGCCGCGAATAAGCTACTCAAGCCCAGTGCCACGATGACATCGGTACATTCTAATGCTTCAGATGGACCCGAACTCACCCGTTCCAATACCATGACGTCTCTAAGCTCTCACTCAGCACGCCCATCTCTATCAGGATCCATATCTGGGCAGCTCAGCCCATCAGAGGAAACACCGCCAGACGCAGGACGGCCAAGCTTGTCTTCGGCCAAGTCATCTGGCACTATGCGCAAGAACAGAATCATGGCGCCTCCGCCAGCAGCTTACATCACAGGGTCCGGTGGAGGCGAGACAAATGGTGGCGCAAAGGAGGAGAAGAAGGGCAAGATGCTGTATGCATTCGAAGCTAGTGGTGAGGGTGAACTTACAGTACAAGATGGTCGAGATGTGGTCCTGCTGGAACCTGACGGTAAGTCTGAACCCCCGATACCTTAATGACGATATCTAATTGTATTATAGACGGCTCTGGCTGGGTCAAGGTCCGCGCAGGCTACAAGGAAGGCCTCGTTCCATCATCATATGTCGAATTCACCACCGTTACTACTCCGGCTGCTCCCGCTCCCGCAGCCCGACCATCATCTACTTATTCCACCTCAACAACATCCTCCCTAGCACCATCAACCAAGAAGAAGGGTCCCGCAGTAGCGCCTAAGCGAGGCGCAAAGAAGCTCCGCTACGTCGAAGCGCTATACGAATACACGGCACAGGCTGAGTCAGAGCACTCCATGGCCGAAGGTGAACGTTTTGTCCTTGTGCAGGATGACCCGGGTGATGGCTGGGTCGAGGTCGAGAAGGCGGGCGTCACGGGAAGTGTGCCTGCGAGTTACGTGCAGGCCGTCTAGGGAACGAGCAGGGGTTGCAGGTGCGGGTTTTGTCGGCGCACCATGAAGTCGCCTTGAAAGAAGTTCCAACTTTACCTTGTACCCATTTGGTTTCTCAGCATGAACCCGGGTTCGAATGTATATATGAAGAGGGCAAAGCGGAGCTGCATGATTGAGATTCTGTTTCAAACTTCTACCCAGAGAATGGAGAAGACATGACAAGACAGGAGCTGTGTATATTTTGGGTTAGGGATGCATTCATGGGGTATAGGTACATAGTGCATGAACTCGGGGTTCAAAATGGAAGACATGCTGAGCCGCATCCCATCGGTATGAGCTTACGAAGCAATTTGTGGTGTCTTTGCCACTCTACCGAAGTTTCCGGAAATTAAGAGTCATAGACACAAGAAAGTCCATAGGAAAAGTTTAGAGGACGAGGAGCTTGGTTTAAACATGAGAATTCTAACAGCACTCATAGGAGAAGAAAAGGGATGCGTATAGCATCCATCTAGTAGTATATTACAGGGGTATTACAGATAAAAAAGCTCAACCGTCCGACACCTTTGGTTCATTTCTCATGTATACTGCTTGGTATATGTCCCGTTCCATAGCCCCTAATCCATCTGCCATTCTTTCATTTATCATGTAAACTGTGCGTGTGCATTGTATTTGTGTATCAAACAGGAGGGGGATATCATTTCTTTCAGTTCCAGTACCTTGGAATAAACGCCGTGCCAAAAAGAGATTTGAGTGTAAAAGTGTAAAGAGTCATGCCAGGACTCATAGACTACTTGATGTTAAAACATGAGCCCGATGCATAAAGCCGAACGCCGAGTGGAGTGTGTATATGTTGAGTGAAAGAAGATGGAGCTGTCGAAATGAACTTCCCGAGAATATCAGAACTTTGCCTGGTCCAGACCGCTTGTGATAATGCTCATCAGACCTTGTCCTGCTTATGGCCCACTGAAGTTGGGGACTGCCTAAGGCAAGATTGGATCCTAGATCATCTGTGCAGTGGGAGCTCCCAGGGGATGTCCGAGACCTTCACGCAGAGCGTCTTGCAACTCGGCGATCTGGGCCATCATAGACAGAGAGTGTTGGGAGTTTTGGTTCATCTCAGCCCTCAGCTTCTCATTCTCCTCCTTCAGGCGTTTGACTTCTTCTCTGAGTTCGGTCAGCTCCTCAGTGGCCTGTTCGCTGGAATGGCGTTTGCGCTTCATGCCCGTCTTTTCGCTGTCGTTATCCCCGGGTGATTGAACGATTTCGGTAGGAGTAGACCCATCAGGATTGGTGTGAACCCGACGTAGGTGCTCGTTCAGGTTCTCTTGTCTTGAGAATCCCTTGCCGGTGTGTCGCTTACAGTTGGGATGAGGACAATTGACCGTGTTCTTGGGTCCTCCATGCTTGCCATGAACCTCTCGTTCATGCCGAAGCAAACCGCCAGAGTATGTGAAACCGGGGAGATTTTCGCATCCCTCAGCAGGGCATCGGTACGGTCGTTCATGCTTGTCCATGTGCTTGCTGCAAAGTAGTTAGCAAACTGTTACAAGTGCAAAATTTAGGTAGGAACTTACTTCCATTCGCATTTGCGCGAAAATACTCGGACTTCTTCCTTACAGTCGTCCAAGGTACAGTGAAACTTGCCATCAGCACCCTTGACCGCATCTCTCTCGGGCTTTGGAATGGACTTCACTCGAGAAGACGAGGGAGGAGGAGATTCGATACTCGGGGAAAGATCTTTGTCGTCGGGTAGAGGGTCGAGTGACGGTGCTTGCAAAGCATCCTCGATCGGGGACGGAAACGAGTGGGGTCCTAGGTCAAGTCGGGTTGCTTCCTGGACAGCAGCAGCATCCTCTGGCATCATCCCTCTATCATCTCCAAGAACGCCTGTGGTATCCGGAAGCATGGACGCCTCGGTTGTGTAATGACTGAGTTGCTCGGCGACATCACTGTCTGTAAATCTTTGATCCGCGCCATGATCGTGGTCGTCGCCGATGGGAGGATAGCTCCCATCATGAATAAAGTTACGAGGCTCGAATGCGACACTCATGGTGCCTGTGAGTGACTGATATTGCTTTGCGACAATTGGAAAGCGACGCAAGAATCGCGGTCGCAGGAGTTTGTAATCGAGAGGCGCGTGAATTAAAAGCGGCGTTTGTGGTCGGGGGGCGAGAGTACGCTTTATAGAGGATCGTGGGCGAAATTTGGTGCTGTAGTAGAGGAGGCGTAATTGCAAATCGCTATGCCGATGACTGCTCGCTCGGTTCGGGTTGGTTATGATGAATGAAGCTTGAAGGTTGGAGGCCTGAAAATTCTGGTATGAAAAAGCGGAAGGCAACGGGTAGAACAAGGTGGAGCAAAATCTAGGATTAGTCAGAGACGGCACGTGACATCGCGTGTGCGTGGCTCAGCAAAAGCAAGTATTGTGGCGCCGACAGATCCGAATTGTTGGGTGAAAGTTTGTTGCGAGCACGACTTTATTAGTATTTGACTGTTACTCCAGGCAGACAATGGATAACGATGACTCGATACGGCAGGTCCCATAATAAGCAAAGTCCTTGGACTTATGCGGAAGCGTTAAAAATCGTGACTCACGCGCCGTGCCTCTTTTGGTGGCGTCGCATAATGGAGGCGTGGGGAAGTGCAAGGCTACGACGGCGACTAACAGCACGCAAGTAGACTTCCTTGTGTGCCCGCCCATTGATCGTAGTCGTTGCCTTTTCTGATCTTCGCTCGAAGATAATAGAGTTAGGCATGAGGCTGTGCGGGCCGCGTTTATGGATCCTTTGCAGATGCATTCCGATAGGATCTCGTGATCTTGTTCACAGTCTCTGGATTTTAAGCCAACTTTGCTTATTGGAGGATCCGTATCATCTGCCAGGATTTTCCAAGTTCAAGTCCGTGACGTGCACTGAGAAAGTGACTTGTCCGACCCTGGCTCTTAGGACTCAAACAGGCATCAGGCTGCTACCGTTCAAATCGCCAACGGCCCAGTGAAGGATCTCTGTTTCCGAATAGTGTGCACTTACTGGGCGTGAGATAATCAGATAAATCAAGGCAGTTTCCAAAAATGGATGAAGCATACGATGACTGGTCGGCCTCGTCCAAGTTGGTCTCCCATAGGTACCTGACTCATCGTGCCAGGTTGGTGTTGGTCCTTTGGTTGTGAGGCCTCGCAACCTTAGTTTCCAGGTGGCAACAGTTGAACATAAAGTGGGCAGCTTTATCCAACAGGAACAATATCAAAAGGGATGAATGTATCAACGTCTAGACCACTGAGTCTTGGGCGGGACATGTCGCGGCTTGCTAGATTGATGGTCCAAATCAATGCTAGTTTCCGACAGGCTTGCGACTACCAGCGTATCGCAGACTTTGGCGTGGAGTTGTTGCGTATGTATCAGAGCACCAACATGTGGGTGGCACAAGCAGATGACGCTGGTGGTGACGACGATAATCCCAAGTGAGGCATTGGCGAGACTACCGAAGATCGATGAGATCGCTAAGGATAAGAGGGTCAGTTTGTAACGAGTAAGGAGTAAGGATCCTGTTGATTCAATAGCATTTGAGTCGCAGATAGTCCCTGGTGGTGACGGTTTTGGGTGTTGAGAGAGGGGAAATTGAAATTGGGTGAGAATTTGGAGATTCGGGCGCCTTGTGGTTTAGATAGATTAGGGGACGGGATGGGAAGGAGCGATCTGAGTTCTAAGGCATTTGTGCATTTGCACCAGAAATATGAGGTTGAACCTCAGGTTGAACTATTCAACGACGGGATGGGATGCGACCTGACCGGACAAGGGCCAGGCCTAAAGCAGCTAATGCTGAGCTTGCGAGGATGAACCATGGCTATGAGCCACACGAATTATGCGTATCGTTATTGGTTTATTACGACGATCAGAGCCGATCTCAAGAATCTTGTTAGAGCTTATCAATTGAAGAAATAAAAGGTCGTGTTTGGAGGTTCCTTTTAACCTTAACCCTTGAGCAATGCTTCAACATCATCGTCTCTGCCCACAGAACAGTTCGAGGGGTTGAGGCCCAAGCGATGTAATGTCATCAGTATGGATCACAGCAAAATATCAGGTCGGACATTTGTCTTCCGTCTTATGCTTGTGTTACTGAAGCTGAAGCATTCCCCGCTCTCGATCCTCAGACCCAACAGCGACAATTGGTTCGACAACGCGATAGCTAACGCCTCCAGATGAAGTGGCTTCCGGCAAATGTCTTTGTTCACGGTGCTCCAACAGTTTGCTGTGTTACGATGTGAAAGCCTTCATCTGTGCATTTCCTCCATTTGCTAACCCCAGATGATTATTGACCCAAGTCTTACGCCTCAATCTGTGAACAATACTCCTGGCATAAGCCACCAGAGTTCACGGTGTTGGTTCAATTAACACACAGGTCTATAAAGAAGATGGTATTTCTCCCTCTTACCCTCCGTATCATACTAACACACAATTCAATACTCTGTCAAACAGTCCATCATCACTAAACGCTATGTCTTTCGGAAAACTCACTACTTGTCTCTGGTTCGAGGACCAAGGAGAAGAGGCAGCAAAACACTACGTCTCAATCTTTGCCCCTGATTCCAAGATCAACACCATCCAACGTTACACTCCGGCCGGTCAAGACCAACACGGACAGGAACTCGGAAGGGTCATGGTTGTCGAATTTGAGCTCCGAGGTCGTTCCTTTGTCGCCCTCAATGGCGGTCCGGCGAAATGGAAATTCAGCGAAGCCATTTCTCTCATGATCGACTGCAAGGATCAGGCTGAAGTTGATCACTTCTGGGAGAAGCTCAGCGAAGGTGGTGATGAGGCCCGCCAACAGTGTGGATGGTTGGCCGACAAGTTTGGAGTTGTTTGGCAAGTCGTGCCTTCAGCGCTCAAAGAGATGATGGGATCCGAGGATAAAGCTGCAGCTGGAAGAGCGACTACAGCTATGATGAAGATGAAGAAGTTTGATATTGCTGAGTTGGAGAAGGCGTATAAGGGCTGATTTACGTAAGGCGAAGCTGCCAGTAGGCGATTTGGTGTAACCCAATCCTAGCTGTGGTGACTATCATAGTATCCATTATAATCCGATGCTATTATTTGGAGAGTCTTCAAGATTGAGCCTATGATTGAACTAGGCTGTCTTCGTTAAGAGAGTCGTTGGACCCTGGCTGCAGGCACTTTGTCTTTCCCCCAGGCATAAGTCGAACAGCCGCAAAGCCGAGAGTACTCCGGACTGCACCGAGTGTTTCTAGAATACCAGACACTGCCTTTAAGCCGAGGATAGGCCAGTAAAGATCACGCTGTCGTTTTATACAAGTTTGAATGACTATTGCTGTTCCGATCGTCGGTGTTGGACTCGGTAGATTGCCGAATAAGCTCTTATACGGTGGTAGTACCGAGGCGGCTCCTACCGGGCCGTGTCGCATCCGGAGCTTTGGAGCTCTATGCCTACAATTATTGGGATTCAGTTCTTATCTCTGGAATAATCACCTTTCCTCCGGTGTCTATAGATCACCAATCACTCAATAGATACAACATTATCCGTGTCTCTTCATATTCAGGTCCGGAGTGACTAAAAACCAGCCGATCACGTTGGCAGAGTCTACGGCGGACAAACAAGACAAGAAGGGTTGGGTTAAGGGTTGATAGTTAGCTCTAAGTAGCCGCATTTAGTGGGCTGTAGCTACCCCAACCTGCAAAAGCTATCCCCCAAGAGTCAATCTGCATCGGTTTTAGCGGCCTAGATCGGCTCACAAACACATGGATCTCATCCAATGATTGATTCGGACCCTCAACTTTTTTTCTTTCATTAAATAAATCCCCTCCACCCTCTTCCTGTTCCCTCTTCCCCTCAACATCAGTTTCTTCTTCATCCTTACTTTGATTTTCACTACCAAAACCCTCTCGACTGGCATTGCCTCTCTTCCTATCCCAATCTGCTGTCGTCACTTGCAATATCTGAATCAGGTCAGACTTATAGCACGCTCCTCCATTGCTTTCAAGTCTCGTACTTCCAATGGCAGAGTCAGCTCATAGCTCGCTCGCCAGTGGTGGCCAGCATGATGACCCCGCGTCCAAGCCTCATCTTGCTTCTACTGGGCTCGAGAATCAGGAAGAGGGAAATGCCCGAGAGGGTGATTATGATGTTGAGACGGTAGAGCGTATCTACAGGTTTGTGACCAATCTCTTCTCGAATCGATATATACTTACATTATGAATTGCAGAAAGATTGATCGTCGTATCATTCCTGGTAAGCTTGCTTTGTACCACTTGTGAAACCATTCACTCATCATGTTGCAGCTTTCTGGGTCCTATACTTCCTCTGCTCAGCCATCAGGTCCAACATTGGTATTGCTCAAACCATGAACAAGGACAAGGGACACGATCTCATGACTGTCCTTGGAATGACGCCAAAAGATGTCTCAACTGCTCTGGCCCTCTTCTACGTTGCATATGTCATCTTTGACTGTCCTTCCAACCTCATCATGAGCAAGCTGAGCCCTCGTCTTTGGATGGCACGCATTGTCTTTGCTACCAGTGTCATTGGAACTTGCTTCGCTGCTGTCAATGATCCTTGGAGTGTGAAGCTACTTCGATTCTTGCTTGGACTCGTCATTGCTGGCATGTGGCCTGGTATGGCTTTCTACCTCACCTTGTTCTACCCTCCTTCCCGTACCGGCCAGCGAATTGGCTACTACTTCACTGCGTCTCAAGTGTCTGCTGCCGTTGTTGGTCTCGTGTCTGCGGGATTCCAACTCATGGACGGAGAGAGGGGCATTGTGGGTTTCCGCTGGATGTTCATGGTCTATGGCCTTGTTGGTGTCGTTCTGAGCGTTATCCTCCTGTGGTGGCTCCCCGACCGTCCTCTTGCACCTGGCCAGACCCGACCCAAGACTGGTATCTTCAAGTGGCTCCCTGCAACCCCTGAGGTTCTCAAGGGCCAAGACGCAGTTATTCACTACCACGACCTTCGACGTGTTTATCACGCTCGACCCTGGAACTTTAGGGACCTAGGCCTTGTTCTGATCGACTGGCGTCTCTGGCCCCTGACTTTGATGTATTTCGGTGTTGTTGGCGTCGGTATTGGCACCCAGATGTATGGATCCGTCATCATTGCCTCTATCCGACCCGAGGCCAGCGGCGTCGAAGTGAGTCTTCTGTTTGCGCCAATCTGGATCATGGATCTCATCGCCATTCTCATTGTCACCCCTATCTCGGACCGCTTCCACCGATCTCGCCCGTACTTCTTCTCCGCTGCTGTGTGCATCCAGATTGCCGGTCTGCTTACCACTACTCTGGCAACTAGCAACGGCTGGGCTCGATATGGAGGTCTTCTTATGGTCGGTTTCGGTCTTGGTCCTACTGTCCCTATCTGCATGGCTTGGAGCTCTGAGATCTTCCAGAAGCGCCATGGCGAAGTCGGAGTTGCTGCCGCGACTGCGTTGGTCTCTGGTCTTGGTAATCTGGGTAGTGTCATGACAACTTATGCCCTCTACACTGGCTGGCCTGAGGACGCCGCCCCTGGCCCTCACCAATACCGCAAGAGCAACTACACCATGATCGGAATTCTGTGCATGAGCATTCTCAGCTCATTCGCGATGAAGGCTCTTCTCACATATTTTGGCAACCCAGCCAGCAGCAAGCTTCAGTCAGACTCATCCAGTGAGTTTGAGGATGGTGCAGCCCGACGAGAAGGGCAGGAGCGCGGTTTCCGATCTCTTCCTTGGAAGAAGTCGAGCCGCATTTAAGTCTACGGAACTCCCTAGATTCGTCCACCTAAGCTGCATCTTCAACAATCGCCCTGGCTGACGTCTCTTCATTGAGCAGCTGGCAGCAGCCCAACCTGCTGATTCAGTTGCCTGTATCAACATGGCTATTCACTCATGACAAGCCTTGACGACATTCACTTCTCAACCTCATTCGTGTGGGATCAATTGTTTCGCCTTAGGGGTCGCCAAATCTTCGATCTGGTATACATACCACTAATATGATGGCCTCTAGAACGATTTATGCTCAGAAGACTCCCTGGTCTTGCGAACAGCTTTGTGACAATGCTTCAGCGCTATCACCCTGCTCCCCTCTCAAGTCCAGACCCTTGGAGTATTTACCCCTTCGGACTATTTTGATCGTTTTACTTTGATGTTTACGCATTGTTTTGCTCTTTATTATGATACCCCATCAGCGTTTGTACACGCTGTCCTACGAGTTTCCCCATTTCCCTCGGCAGCGAAAGTGCTTCTACGCCATCGCTTTGCGGATAGTGTGTTGAACCAGAGCTCGCGGCGAAAATGCTTGTTACGCTATCGTTTGGCGAGTTCTGTGGGCGTTTTGTGTTTCTTTTTAGGTGGGAAAGGTTGCATATGACTCTTTGATCCTGGCTACAGTGATGGTATACTATTCGATCTTTATCATCAAGTCTTGGTTAGCATATAATATGAATAAGATATATGCCCTCGCGCTTTATCCAACCAATGCCTTTGGTGACTATTCACAACTTGTATGGGGAAGGGGATATAGGGGAATACTGGTGAGACTATCATTGAACCTTTCGTCTGCACACTAATGGAAGCGAGCACATCCAGGCCACACATCACATTCATATATTCACTGGCGAAGATACATAATCTCAGTAAGTGATGTTTTCTATTCTCTAATCCGGGCGGTACATACATCGTGTTACACACCCGCAGGCAATATCATAAGCACATAAAGATAACAAAAGGGACAAAAAGTTCAACTCCAAATCTCAATATTTCTCATTCACCTGCGTACCATCATCCTCCCCTAATCACAGAATTTCCAGTCACAGACGGAAGTGTGACCGTGGTAGGATGACAGTCGCCACCCTTTGAAAAGAACTCCTCCCCCAAAATATCCTACACTCTAAAACCCTTGTGCATTGTTTTTATCCCAAACTTGTCTGAAGTTGAATAGAAAAAAGGAAACCGTGGCCAAGCTGCGCTTGTTTACCAGAAGCCGAGCATGCGGCGGAATCGCTCAGGAGCCGGAACGTCGCTGTGAAGACGGGCGGCCTCGACGGTCGCGGTCACGTAGACTGTCTCGGGCTCAGGGGCACGGGTAGTGGCCAGAGTGGTAGAGGCAGGGCAGGCTGTGACAACGGAAGTGATGACCTTGGCGGTCTCCTTGCCAGCACCACAGGGGACGGTGACGGTCTCGGTGACCTGGTTTGTAAGGGTGACAGTCTCGACGCCAACGGTCATGGTGTTGACACCAACGGTGACGTAGGAGGTGACTTGATTGGTAACAGTCTTGGTGATGACAGTCTCACCGGCAGCAGGGACGGTAGTCTCCTGGCCGATGGCGCCCTCGGAAGTCTCGGCGGAAGTCTCAGCGGGAGGAACGACCACCGTAGTCTTCTCACCCTCGCCAGGAACGGTGACGACACCAGTGCCGGTAGGGACACCATTGGAGACAGTGATAGCAGTAGTGCTGATCTCGCCGTCAGACTTGGTCATGGTGATGATAACTACACCAGTGGAAGTAGCAGTGACAGTCTCGTCAGCCTCGGAGGTCTCAGCACCAAGGGCAGTAGAACCAACAGCCTCAGAGTCACCAGAGGTCTCAGCAGCCTCGGAGGTAGGGGCAACCTCAGCAGAGGACTCGACCTGGGTCTCGGGAGGGGTGACACCAGTGCCAGTGGGGACACCGTTGGTAAGAGTGATAGCAATAGTGCTAATCTCGCCATCGGACTTGGTCATGGTGACAACAGTGACAGCTTCAGAGCTCTCGGCAGCACCGGGAGCAGTCTCAGTAGCAGCCTCAGAAGTCTCAGCACCAAGAGCGGTAGAGTCAGCAGCCTCAGCATCGGAGGTTGTCTCAGCGGCGGCAGTCTCGGTGGTCTTGACAGCGCCAGTGGATGTAGGTCCCTCGATGACAGGGGTACCATCGGAGATGGCGCAAGACTCAGAGACAGTGAGGGTTCGGGTAGAGATGACAACATGGCCGCCAACACCGGGCTTGGTCTTGCCAGTGACCTCGGCGTCAGAGGGGAGAATAACGGAAGCGGTCTCAGTGGACTCCTTGGTGATGGGAGTAGGAGCCTTGGCAGTTGAGGAGGCATCGGCACGGCAAATCTCACGCTGCTTCTGGCAATCAGAGACCTCGAAGTTCTTTCCAGCGTTCTCAGAGCAGTCCTTGAACTGCTTGTCACAAGCATCAGTGAGAGCCTCGCCGAGCTCAGGGAAGGTCTTCTCGTCAGAACCGGTACCGACAACGAAGTCACCCTTGTTGCCACGCTTGACGGGAGGGCAGGCGGCACCAATAACGATAGTGCGGTGGAAGATGGTAACCTCACGGATAACAACGATGACAGGCTTGTTCACCTTGCTGACAACAGCGCTGCTGGTAGCGGCCTCTGAAGAAACGGCACCGGGGAGTTCATCAGAACCAGTGGTCTCAGCGCCAGCGGCAACAGTGGTGTTGGCGAAAGGTCCGGGCTGAGTGGAAACAGTGCTCTGTCCCTTGCCAGTAGTGAGGATGATGGTGGTAGGAATAGGAGCCTCAGTCTCAGTGCTGGCGTCAGCCTCATTAGTGGCGGTGTTGGCAGTCTGAGTAGCGTTGTCGACATCAGTGGTCTCCTCCTCAACAGGGGCGGAGGTCTCGGCAGAGGTCTCTGCGGCGTCCTGGGTAGCTCCGGTAGTCTCAAGAGCAGCAGAGGTGTCAAGGGTGGTCTCGCCAACAACTCCAGTGGCAGCAGTCTTGGTCTTACCACCAGCACATTTGGTGCAAGGGATGGTGATGGTCTGGTTGACGAAGCGAGTAGTACCACGGGTGATGAAAGAGGTAGGGACAACAGTGGTCACGTCAGCAGTCTGCTCGGTGATGGAACCTGAGTCAGTAGCCTCGGCAGTAGAAAGAGCCTCAGCCTCAGTAGTAGCAGCCTCGGAAACGGTCTCGCTGGAAGCCTCAGAGACAGCCTCAGAAGTACCAGCAGCTGCGGCGTCACCAGAAGTAGTGGCATCAGCAGTGGAGAGAGCCTCGGACTCGGAGACGGTCTCAGAAACAGCCTCTGAAGTACCCTCAGCACCAGCGTCAGCGGTAGAAGAAGCAGTGCACTTAGAGCAAGGGATAGTGACGGTCTCATCAACGAAGATAGTGGTGCCGTCAGTGATATAAGAAGTAGGAATGACAGTCACCTCAGCAGTCTGGTCAGAAACACTGCCAGCATCGCTGGTGATGACAGTAGTGATAACCTCAGAAGTGACCTCAGCGTCGGCATCACCAGCAGTGGAAGCTGTGCATCGAGAGCAAGGAATTGTGACAGTCTCGTCAACGAAGATGGTAGTTCCGTCAGTGACGTAAGAGGTGGGAACAACGGTCACCTCAGGAACATCAGGCACCTCATAAGGGTTGCCAGCCGAAGTCTTGGGCTTCTGACGAGTAACAGTCCTGGTGAGTGTGACCTTCTCCTGGGCAATGACACCCTCAAGGAGAGCCTGCAGGCTGACAGCCGCGATAAGAACGTTGCGCATGAACATGGTGAAGGAAGTAAATCGGAAAGTCGTAGATTGGTTGGGTGTTTTGTTGATTTGGCAATGAGTGAAAATACTCTATCAAAGAGCAAAGTTGTTGTAACTTGGGAAAAAGGCGGCCAAAGCACCTGTCAAAGGGAACGACTGAGAAAAGAAGCCCAAAACTGGGAACAAAACGGAAAGAGAATGAATGAGAGTTGAGTATGAAGAAGAATTGGGCTCCAAAGAAGCAGCGACAGCTTCGTCTTTAAGAAGGCATCTCGCCTGCCAGTATAGTATCAAAGACCTCAGCGTCAAACTCTGACGGGTGGCGGAGCAAACGGACATCCTTGACATCGATCGGGACTTAATTAAAGTGGTCTCAACATGAGACGTGATGGATATAGGCGCCCCCTCATGTGCCTTGATTCAGCGAGATTCTAGGATCAGTATAGACGAGACGTGGTTTGGAAGCAAGCAAGTGGATAACTGAGCATGGACAGACATTACCATATTAGGCTCGAGGGCCTAGGACGAGTTGCCTTGTGGACTGGATGATAGACGTAGAATAGCATGGGCCCCAGATGCAAGGCTCGCGTCCTCAGCAGATAGTGGAGGGATTGACGGCCCCTGTCACCGTCCATCTGGTCATGATGAATTATCCGGGAGCCAATGGTAGCCAAGCCAAATAGTTCTCTCATGATGGGGACTTGTTGATGGTTCTGTCCGGTTGCCTCGGTTCTTTTGGAATCAGCAAGCGTTCACCGGTTGTTGGTATATGGCCGACTGTATAACGGTGAAACTATTCCCGCCAGATCCAAAAATAGGACGGGCCAGCACTTGCTGGTAAACAATATGGATGAGACGGCTCATGATGATTAGAGAGAAGAGCTAAGTTTGAAGTTGTTTATTCGGTCCAGTGCCGATCCTCCTAGTAATTTAATTTGCCGCTCAAACAGATTCGTTGTTTGTGATGTGACAATGTGATGAGATCCAGTTGAGGTGAGGTGAGGTGAGGTTAACGGAATAATTGTCAAGGCTAGGTTGCTCTAGAAAGGATCGTATGCAGGGATGCGATGCATGGGAATATGCATAAAGTGGAGGTTGCAAGGGGGCGGGGTTTTAACGTCGCACCAGACTCCGAGAGACATGGGGGAGACAAGGGTTTATCGTTTGCTTTTCCATATGACGGGAATATCAGAAATACGAGTAAACGGTGTATTACAGTAGATCATGAATTATCGATACTATTACTTTTGGATCTCGGTTCAGTTGCATCGTTGTTTTGACGATCTCAACCTGAACCACTTACAAGATACTCAGCCTCTTTCAACTTCTCTTCTCACACAAAACAATGCCAAGTAACAGATCGGGCAGACCGCCCGCAAAGATTTCCTCTTCAGAGACCAAAGTCTTGGATGACAGGTGACGAGATTGGTGATGCTGAGAGAAGCCCTGGTCCAAGCGCTTCGTCTCTTACTGTAGATGAATCAAAACCAAGTTTCATGACTCCCCAACCTTGCCTCGCCCTTGTTTCAGAAACAGCTCCACGACCCGAATTGAGGTGTAGAGTTCATGCACTTTGTCTCTGTTTTCACACGAATGGCGCTCTTTCGTCCATGTATGTACACTCAAAACAAGCATAATCTCTTCCTGAAGATGCTGCAATTGTGCCTCACCCTTTTCCCTCCAAACAAACACAGCCCCCTCCCGGGGGACATGGTGTAGTAATAGGCATGTTCCGAGTGTTTGTATCAAAAGAGTGTTATTTTAGTAGCATGGCCAGTGTGTTTCCGTCAACAGGGATTATAACTAACTTTCTTGGACCTGTAAATCCTCTGAGGCTCATAACGGCACACACAGTTACACGGATGGATGCACTTCGGTGATGAGATGACTTTTTCATATAAATTGATTCGAGCCCAGGATTGAATCAATGCATCAGCGCTACTCACCACGCTTGGATGCCCGTTTACCTTGCGAGAGCCACTCGTTGGATGCCGCTATGATACTGCACGGCCGGATCGCCGCATTTTTAATTTACGTAGCTGCAGCTTCTCATCCTGTTTGCCATTTCTCTGGATCGGCTTGTTTCTGTTTCATGAAACGGGATGGGGGTTCATGATCCTTCGTAATCAATATCAACATGATTTCTGCTCTTGACGCGGCTCGATATTGTTCGAATTACGGGAACTTGAGATTGTGACACCATTTGCTTTGGATGCGGATATCTCGGAAATTGCGTCACTATATGGGCCGCGTATCAATGGAGTTTGTTTTGTTTGAATCCTACGTCCACCCATATTGAGTTTGATCCTCGAGTTGATGCTCTCAACAACCATCTATCAACACCTGACATTCCTGCCGTAGAGCCAGTATAGCTGTTGTTGGGAACGTCATCGTCGTCACCATCCTCGAAATTATCTATCTAAGGATGCTCTCGAATTTGCCTTTCAGCGACAGGGAATCCATCCTAGAGGAGCAAAGAAAACCTAGGATCTTGATCCTAAATGATAAAAAGACCTAAGTGACCCGTGATCAATTTAGGGTAGATTCAGGATACCTTTTACTGAGTTTATTTTAACATCTTATATCAAGGTCCGATGTTTCCTTGCTCCCTGAGGCCATGCGCTACCCGGAGCCATATGAATATGTTCCGTGTTACCATATCTGAGTCTTCATCTTCAGTGTAAATATCGTCGCAATCAATATCAGCAATCCCGCAACTCTCAGTTGTTGGGCTACACTTTAAGCGGAACGATGTCGCAGTTTCCGAGCCTTGTTTCCTCGTTTCTTTGTCCCTAGATATTCAAGTAAATCCAAGATACACAAGACAGTGATCGCCTCCACAGAATACATGCTCACGGATACCCAAGTTGGTATCAGTCCGCCTTGTGAGTGCAAATGGGAGGAAGGCAACAATGGGATGGCTGGTATAGGAACTTCCAGGGCTCAGGGATAGTAACCGGCATTCATCTGCAAGAGAAACTTGACCTTCCAGGCCTTAGAAGGCTGAGATTAGTTCTTGAGCGAAAGACATATATTTGTTTGTCTAGGCTGTTGCATTGAGATCTATATCCCATTAAGCTGCTTGAGCCCTCTTTAAACACTTTTGTCGGGCACATGTTAAAAAGGCACCGGTCCAAAGGGCATCAATGTCCTGATCACGTCTGATGAGGGTTCGCAAAAGGGCATTGTCATTAGTTGATTGGTTCAAAAATGCAAAGGAACATTGCAACAATGGAGTAGATACCACATATTTTGCACTCAATATCAGGTTCGTAGAAGACGTTGCATATGATTGCTTTCAGCCCTCTCGTGTTGCGGTGAGGGTAAGGAGTTTGTCCAACTGAGACTCATCCATGAGATATGTCTTGCTGCAGCTGGATTCCCTTCCGCGTTAATCATACTACAAAACTGATCTTGATAAGTCTATGGACCTGTTCAGTACTAGCTAGTCTTATAGACCACAGAAAATACAGGAGCGTGCCATTCGAGCCTTGAATAGTCGGGTCCCAGCTACCATCGTTTGATAGAACAACACTCCACCTTTGAGCAGCATCCTCTTCAGCTTGGCCAATACAAACTCGACAGAAGAATCACCAGTACTCAAGGGTGCTCCGGAGTCCTGATTAACGTTGTATGGCCAAGACTGAGATAATTGTGCCTCGTGGATCAACTCTGTACACCGTGTTGAGAGGATGTACGCCCACGCCTGGATCAATATTGGTATATGGTCCTTCTCTCTACCGTCAACGTCCATTCGAGATTCTTTTAAGTTTCCGGGCGTTAGAGTTGCGTTTATTTGTGTCGGTTTGTCCCAAGCAACTTGAACTATTGCTCCCTGACCAAATGGCGGTACCTGATTCGTATCGGTCGTGGCAGCCCAGGTTGATCTCTCTCGAATTATGGCAACATTTGTAAAGACATCATCGCCTTTGTTATCTTTAGGAAATACTGGGTGTTTTGGATATGCCCCTTGATGCTTGATAGACAGTCTCCAATAAGCTGGTCATTGTCAGACGCCAGATCTCGAATGTTGAGCCATGTGCCATATCCCCGTGCATACATGGCGCGAACAGCCTGCTCGCTGGGCCTTATTGCATCTTGCAATACCCAGACTCTTTATCTTGGCAGAATTTTGCGGACTGGGGAGGTGTCATTTCGTGGTTGTTATATTGTTTGGCTGTGAATCATATAAAACTCCATTTCCAAGAGTCTGTTGGTTGAGGTCTATAATGACATGTTGGTAAGCATCTATCAAAGGACATTCGAAATTCCACAAGACTCTTGCTTTTGGAGGCGTATCTTGTAGCCAATTTAGAGACCGAATTTTCCATGTTTCGAACTTTTGATATCCAAAAGAGCGAAAACAATGTGACGAGGGTTGTGTGTTGCTAACAACAGGTAGAGAAATTGTCATATTTCCATTACTTGGGGTATGTGACGCCGTAACCTTCCACTTACACGCACAATGCAAAAGAAATAACTCAAACTGATAAAAGAATAACTCCCCTTTATTTCCGAATATCTCTGTGTCAAACAACTCCGCCCAACTATTCCTAATAGGTCTCTAAGTCATGATGGTATGGGGTAAGCTGTAAGAGAGATTAGATTGATAAGATGAGATTGTCATGGCCCCCGACACCGGAACGATCTAAACAGCCGTGTCGCAATTTTCTGCTCGCACATTGCAATGCAATGCAAGCTAGACCTGGGTATTTTTCTAGAATACAGCGTTGTTGTACGTAACGAGATGCGTTGTTGGGAACTGGACGGTGAACCCCCTGCATGATTGGCATGATGCCAACAAGTGAAATCTTCTCGTCTCATGACGGGTAAAAAAACACGTGGGGTATCCTCGTGACATTGCACAAGTCCATAAAGAGGGAGTGGTATTTTTGTACTTTTTTTTTGTTTTTTGTTTATTCGGTGTAATAGTATTACATTGCAGCTCGAGCACGACATCGTAGCCGTCACCGCCGGATTATACCATACGTATCAGGTGCATGTATCCAATTGTTTTTGTACATGGATGTCTAAAAAGTTGACAGCACTAGATCCACTTGAGCTCTCGGGAACAAAGAGGGGCAGACGAGACACGACGAGACTCGCTTCCATGATAGGTTTGAATCGGGTTCTGAACTCGAGGGTTATGCTATTCTTGGCAATTCTGACAAGCTCCAGGAATTGGTCCTGGACTTTACCGTAGATATACTAGTTTCTAGTTTTGGGGTCGTTATCTAACTTGATTCGAGTCTGGGTCGAGCTGTGGCTGGTATCAAGTGACTGACGCATCATCGACGAATCTCATTGATGCAATCGATCTCACTGCCACTATTCACTCACTCATTCGCTTGCTCACTCACTCGCTCACTCACATTCCATTCCATTTCCTCAATCTCACTCACGATCTTCTACGCAGATCCACCGAGAACTACTCTGTTCTGCAGTTTCAATGGCTGCTTCTAAGCTCATATCATAACTCATTCTTCCTTTTACCTCCGTGATTCTTTCGTCCCGCTCCGTCTCCCCGCTTCATCAACTCCCGGCCGCCGTTGGTAACATTGATAACATAACATAACCCACTTCTTTCTCACTCATCATAGCCCCAGTTCCAGTTCCAGTTCCAATTCTAGTTCCAGTTCATTCCCCTGCAGACATCATTAGTCCTATTCTGTAACTAAACATCACCTTCTCTTTTCATACCTACTCTGGATCTCTCTCTTCTTGCATACCTTTCTCTGCCGTGTCTAGCCCCGATCAGACAAAGTTCCGCATCCCGGGCCCTCTTCCGGCCTTCGACATCCGGTTCTATCATTCTCGGACCCCCCTCTTACCGACTCGAGCCCCCCCCTACCCATCCCATCCTATCCCCTCTGCTTATCAGATCCTGGGGATCGTGGGCTCACACTGTACCTACTGTTTTCCCCATGTGCCAAGACGCAAGTCACTAGTAAAAGAAACAAAAGAAACACCCCCAAAAAAGCCATGGCGCGTTTTGTGGATTTGGAGGAGGACGAGGATGTTGGAGCGGGCCCTGGCGGCTTTACCGTCAACGATCCTCGTGCCGCTTCTACACCTCATCATGAGGTCGTGCCGCCCATTCCGCCTCCTCGTCCTCTTCATCATGACGACCCCCAGCAGAGTGAGCTTTCTCAAAAAGATCAGCATCTTCTTCTTCTCAGGAAGCTCCAGTTGTTGTCTGCCAACAGCCGGAATGGACCTTGGCCTCATTCATTGTATAACCCAGAGCCGCTAGGCACCATGGACTCTTCTACCTTCCAGGCGCCCATTACCAACGCCTTTCAGTGTTATCCGTGAGTGCGATCCCTTGTTCACTCAATTTTCTGTCCAAATGCTTTGAATGATTCGTGGCTGAAGCTGTTGACCTTCATCATGATATCTGCTGCTTCTTTGAATACCGACTTTGACATGTCATGACAACTCCCACTAACCCCCCATACAGTGTTGTCGAAGCCATTGCAGCGTCTATCGACCTTAATACACTCGACGCTCTTTCGCGTACCTGTCGACTCGTCCATCATGGCCTCATTCAGTACCGTACTACTCTGATCAACTCTACCCTCCACTGCCAGAACGAAGAAGTCCCCGTTGATGGCTCCGAAACCTTTCGCTACCGCGCCCGGGCTGGTAATTGGTTCTACATGGAAGATGGGCGCAGTTACAATGGCAAATCAGGCGACTGCGCTCGCGACATGGTTGGCGAGTGCCGTCGATGCGGCGATGTGATATGCCGGGTATGTACAGCGATCTGCGAGCTGCCGAGTTTTGGCCCAATCGCGTGTTACTGACCATGAACTCTGCAGAACTGCGCCATCAAGCCACCGGCTTCCGTCGCCCTCAAGGAGAGGCATAGGAGACTCTGCAAACCTTGTGTTCACGCACCTATAGCCACTCTTATCAAGGCCCCTGTAGATTCAGATGTACCACTGTCATCTGAGTTGGTGTCGCGTGACGTTTGTAAGTGCGCCGACGAGGGCGTTTGGCTCTGCCAGCCATGTGGGCGAAGCATTCGTGCCGCAGATCATGACTATCAGCGGTATGTTTTTAATTTCCGAAGGAAGCTTACTCTCATACTGACCGATGGCTTAGTATATGGCGTTGGCGAAACCAATACGGTGAGGTTCTCGGCGGCCTTGGAACAGGCATAGGCGAGGGCGTTCGTGGCGTCGTGTGTGGCCGCGAAGCAGATTGCTGTGCCGCCAAAGAAGTTGAGCATCAAGTAGATTGCGACGCCGAGGACGCCCGGGACGGCAATGTGGCTCCGACTCCGGCTCCGCAACAAGCTCCGGTTGATGCACTCATCGACCAGCTCCGGCTTACACATGAGCGCACACCATCACCGTCCCTCGGCCCTGGCTACCTTCGCCATGAGATCGAGGGCATTGGAGGTGTTGTGAAGCGCAAACGTGTTCGCATGGTGCGTGTTGGTCATTGTGTCCCTGAGTGGGATGATGAGCGCACCAGCGGTAGTCGTATCCTCGGCCGAGAGGTTAGAGGAGAACGTCGTTCTTGGTGCGGCTGGTGTAACCGTGTGATCCCTGGTGAAAAGGATCTCTTGAATGAGCCACCCTCTTCATCATCTTCAAGTGCTGGAGGAAGCCGTCGCACATCAACGTCGACTACTAGATCAACTGAGATGAAGTTGGATTGAAACAAAAGTGACCCTGTATAGTTTTACTTGTTTGGTTTTACGAATCCGTATATAGGTGGTGTGTATCTACTTCTTGGATTAGCTTTAATTGTTTGCTATCTGGGAACAAGGGGTACATTTGGGACACAATTGGAGAATTGTTGGGCATTGAATGTCATAAACTCGTCGGCATACGCCACTCACGATACACGAGATAGGGAGACACGGGTAAAAATACAATAGCCTATTGTATTCAGGGAGTTTTTGGTATTTGGAAATTATACAGATTTTACCCTATCGTTGGGCAGGAATCAACACTATTCGCATTTCACTACATTCTCCATGACCATAATCCTACATCAACTCAGGTAATTTTCCATGTTTGTACAAGTCTGATAGACTGTGCCACGCCGACACACCGAAGAATAAACCCCTTACAACTCGCCGCGGTACAGCATGTCTGTCCTCCTCTTGCGGTCCTCTCTTGCGGCGGTTCGAATAGCACCCCATCGTGATTCCCTCCTCTCCTGCTTGCGCTTAAGACCCTCAAGGTGCGACTTGGGTGCAGGAGCAGCCATCTTGACGAAAACAGGCGAGCAGCCAAACTTTTCAGCCAGTTTCTTCACACTCCATGTAACGGGATCGTCTGCCCTTAGTCGTTTCATCTCCCTGATATCCTCAGCCTTGAGGTTGTATACAGGATTGCGGCGAGGATAGTCCATCTTTGGGGCAAGTTTGCCGGGTGCGATAGGTTCTAGAGGAGATCCTGGAGTATGTCGCATTCGTGTGAGAGCGGCACGGCGGGGATCGCTATGTGGGAGGAAGATGAAAGGTGTGTGAAGAGGAGAGGCCTCGGAAGAAGGCGGGTTGTAGATGATAGAGTCGGAGGCGGGGAATGCTGCCTTTCGGTCTGGGAGAAAGGACTCGTGAGGGGCAATCTTTAAAGATCGTTTTGTTCGGCTTGTTGTCTTGTGGCCACGGCAAGGAACGGTAGGAAGGGCAGCACGAGGGCTGAATAGCCTGGCGGCTGGTCGGACGAGGCTTCGAAACTCCATTGTGACTTGATGGGCTGTCGTCGAGGGTCCCGTGACGAGGATATAGTTATACAAGTGACCGAAGATGTGGTTTGACTATGTATGGACCTCGAGGACCGGGCTGAAAGCGATTGGCCGCGGTAATTGGCGTATCGTGTGGTTACCGCTGGACCCTGCAAACCACCTGAAGTCGACGATCTGAAGTTTCTGCCACCCACAGCTACGCTTACCTAAGGCACCTTACCTTATGGCTCAAGTCACGTGCTTGATCCAGCTCCAAAGTCACATGGCATGAACTGGCCTGGCTGTCTTCGCGTTAGCTCCAAACTCGTAGGCTGATGACGTCGGCTCTTCACCAGGAGGAATGCCCCTCGACGTTGACCCCTCGTGGCCATTAACTCCCGCTTACATGCAGTCAGTGCAATGAGATGAAACTTCAAGCTGACGAGTCCCTTGTTTCATTTCTCCCAGGCCATGGAGATCTACAGAAAATTCCAGAGAAATGGAGAAATTGTGGAAGATCAATCAGTCACCCTTATCAGTGGCAAATTATAGCAGGGAAAAAGGGGTCAACGGGGTCGGCACATGGGGCCTGTCAGAGCTTGAGTAGCCAAAACGGGGCTGAATTGGAAGCCCAATGATGCATCTCAGATTGGGTTTTTGGTGTTGTTGATATTCGGAACCAAAAAAGCAATCAACGGTGGGTAAAGCAGGGCAGACTTTTCCCTCTCCCTCCTCGTTGGTCATTACTCTGATGCAGATACGCGCGGATCTTTATCCCTTATTAGCCTGTTCCGCCAGGGCAAGACGAAGAAAGTGCCCTGAAGGAGTCGTCACGAGGTCCATGTTGGTAGCGGGGCTGTAGCCGGGTTGGTGATTGACAGTAATGGGATGTGATAAGAGGTGACCAACTTGGTGACCATGAACACCCAACCGACTTGTTCCAAGGCAGAGAGAAAATATGCAGGGAAATGGAGTGATAAAGACTGATATAGCATCACATGTTATCAATGCTGTGACTGTACTGCACGAGGGAGAGAGCGAAAGCAATATCATGTCATTTCAAGGTGAAGGGATATTTTGAACCCATCGGATCAGATCCTCAGCATCTAAGATAGGCAGCCCAGGGCTGACCTTGGTACTATTGGGAGAAAGTCCCTTTGATACAGGCAGGCTATGGTGCCTGACTTGCATTGACGAGAGTCCCATGTCGAGTGCGTGCATGCATATTATGGATGGATTGGAGACAGACGTAACACCAAACGTAGGATCACAACATGAAGACCCAACAGAAAGAGAAGAGCATCTGGGAGGACGAGATACTAAAACGTGGTCACAGTCTGGGGCCTTGTATCGCTTTTACGGCATGGCATCTCGATGTCTACCGTTTCAAGCAGGTTTTGCTAATAATGCCTCTCTCGTCCATCGCCCATCGTCCATCATCCGTTGGCCAAGTTGGCAAAGGTCCCGTGGTTCAAAACCCTTTCCCAGCTTGCATCCATCGTTTACGTTGGATCCATCCATGGAATTGAATCTCTCGTCCCTGCAGACGGTGGAGGCTTTCATCTGTGCGACTCACATAAATTGCCCCATAAATGCCCTGGATAGTGCAATCATCCCGCCTCCAGTTGGTCCCGTGCCTTGATCAAAGTGCGCTGATCTTGGGAAAAGTTGAAGCTTGACTTGACCTCCAAAACGAATTGTAAAGCCACCTACGCCGCCCGTCAGCCCCCCCAGTCATTATCAATTCCATTTACTTTTCTCTTAGCCTTTTGAAGCTCGTCTCATCCTTCCATTCATCCCCCTCTTCTCGAGTTCTGACTTTTGTCTCCCTTTCATTGTTCATTTCGGCAGACAATAAATAGAAGATCCATCTCGAAGCATCCTTGCAACTTACCTACAACGGGCAACGAGGCGAGCGACATCCGACAAAAGCAATAAACTTATTTTAGTTTATCGTCTTCGTACCTGCACCTGCACCTGTACCTACGCTTGCGCCTCCAGTGCTCTCTCTCCCTCCCCTCCCGAGTCCCTTGGCACCTACGAATACGCTACAGCCGTAACCATAGCGCGCCCAAAGTCTCAGCCCGCTCTGCCCTGCCGAGCATTGTACCTAACTCACCCACAATCTATCTCCGACTCTCTCTGTCTCTCTTCAACCCAAGTCAGCCAGCATCGAGAAAATCTTGGAATTGTTGTTTCGGCCACTCTCTAGAGCCATCAGCCACAAAAACTCAAGTGCATCACGCAGACCCTCAGACCTAGACGGCGTCAAGCGGACAACGGCACTGCCGCGATTAGCAGGTCCCTAAGAGTTAGCGCTGGCCGTTGCGGGTCTTTGTTTACGGAGTCCCCAGTATTGTACCGGGAGCTACGGACTGTTTTACAGGGCAGATATACCTAGGTAAGTTCCATGAGGTGCTATCTAATCCAATATTCAATGTTTCTCCCATCCAAAGGGCAGCACCAACGCCAAACTCAGAGTCAAAAGTCTCAGTTACACAAGGTCACATCACATCTGACTTGGTTTTTTCTGCTTTTCCCGACTTTCTCATCCGATACTTCACGCTCGCTACTTAAATATCTCTTCTGCCCGCCCGCCTGACTGTCATCTGTCGTTGCTCCTCCCACTTGCCGATACAGATTTGCATTCCACGACTTTCGTTACTGACTCGACCTTATTGGGCAGTCCCGTACAGTCTTTTGCAGCTGCAAACGTTCTACCGTATATAGTTTATCACCAAAAACCGTCGACGACGCTTAAACTCAGACGCTCAACATCTGGGCTCATTTGTCAACATGAGTCTCGCCGAAGCAGCCACCATCACCCGCGATGACCGTTTCGCCAACACCGAGTCTGTCGATGACCAGCGCTTAGGTGACTCAACCCCTCGAGCCAGCGATTTCAACAGCGAGGCCGATGAAAGAGAAGATACAAAGAAGGACGGGAAGAGCAAGATGCGCAGCTTGTTCGGCCTCGGCAAGAAGAAGCCCTCTGTGCTTACAAAGTCTGATTCCAAGCCCGACACAAACAACTCCAAGTCTGAATCCCAACCGGAATCTCGTTCTGAGTCACAAACTCCTTCCAACGCGAATTCCAACCCTGCCAGCCCACCTCTATCCCGAGATGCTTCCAAGCTGTCCTCGAAACAGCCATCATGGCCTCCTGCTAGCGAGCAGAGCTTTGCCCTCCCCTCATCTCCAGGTCGCGGCTTCACCGGCTCTCCACGACTTTCCTCGCCAGCCACATCACAGATCTTTGAGCGTGATGTCCAGGATAGCACTGTGCTCAAGCCCAACTCTCCGGCCATCCCTACACATATTCAGACCGAAAACTACATTCCTCCCGTTCTTGACGATGCGTCCGAGGCCATCACGAACGAAAAGCTGGACCCTGATACAGTCGAGATTGTAACCCACAGCTCGCATCAACCCGCGGCTGTGACTGTTACAGGAGCCAGCAATGTTCTTCCCTCGTACGACCTTGGAGCCAGCGAGTGGGTAGCCGAGCTCGCTTCCTTTGCTGACCGAGAGGCTGTCTCGGCCGACAACGCTTCTAACTACGGCTCCTTGGACTCTTCCGATGTCCGCCGGCTCTCGTTCATTTCGTTTGCCGATGTTGTACAGGCTGAACACAACCCTCTTTCCGGTGTTGCGAGCTCCCGCGACAGCATCCACCTTGCAGGACTTACGTCTCTCCCAGCAGCGGTCAACCGTTCGCCTTCGCCCATTCGATCACCCGTGTCGAGCCAAGGACCCGAGACAAGCCCTCCCACAAGCAACCCTGGCAGCATGAAGGGTATCGAGTTGAGTCCAACTCGAAGACCTCTTGGTAGCCCGACAAGCACAAACAACCTCAAGCTCAACCCTTCAGGGGGTGATCTGAACATCGAGACCATGAGCCAGGCCCTACGACGAACCGGTAGCAGTGATCTGAGCCATGTTCGCAGTGGTCCTGCAAGCCCAATTGAGATAACTCACCTTCGTTAATTGCATTTTTTGGCACGACAGGAGTACGCTATTCAAGCAGGAGAAACGATGATATCCACACAGCAAATGCAATATTTTATACAATTTGGTGACTTTAGTTAACTTTTATTCTATTCGACCTCGATACCGTATGGGCATCGACATTTTTTGGGAGGGATTGAGAATGAGGATACTGGGATCTGGCAATGGGAGTTGGAAGAGAGAGTTTTCACCAGGCGTCGAGACTTTGCGCGATACAGGCACCATGCACAGATCATGCTTTCTTGGTCTTTTTTTTTCATCTTCTTTTCTGACGCGAGAAAATACAAAGAAACTGCCCAAATTGGTAGTTACGTATTCAACATATCTTGTTCGTTTCAGTTTCGCCTGGGTGATTTCTTGCGGGTAAAGGACACGGTGAATCATGATGTTGTGTCATATCCATGGAAAGTTTGAGCATCAGACGTTGAGAGAAGGGAGATGGCATGTTAACATGTTACGTGTAACCAGTACCGCGTTTGTTGTCGATCAAGGGAAGTCTTTCTGTACAAGATGAGCACGAATATGACCATTCTTGGCATGACGAAGTTCTGAAACGGTGACTGCAGCTGTTGTGGACCATGATGAAGAAGTCTGTGGCTCTCGTGGTGAAATCATAGTCTTCAGCATGGTCTAGCTAGTGGGGCTCGTCTCATGAGCAATGGTACAAGTTTCTAGAATATGATATGTAACCTTGTTGCAGGCCTCAAGAAGCAACATGTCGATTCTATGCCCTGATTGACAGTCGTATATCTTGGAAGATTAAGATGATTTCCTTTTTTTGACATAAATCACTTGGATCGATTGCGTGGCACCACATGAGACAAGGATGTAATATCATGACGAAGCCCCGAGAAGGAAGGCTATGTATGCATGGAAACACAATTAGGCTCATCGAATAGACACTCGTCAATAGAAGCGGTGTGATTCGGAAACTTGTGTTGCCTGAATTGTTGCACTTTGTGAGCTGATGTTTCGAAAGACTCTTGGGTTAGGTCAAGAGATGGACTGTGCTTGATTACCTGGGGTCGCAGGAGGTCACAAATGGGGACATGTCAGGCAGGTTTTAAACTTGGGAACCATGATGCTCTCGAATGATTGGTCCCCGGCATTCGAAAATGGTTCTCTCACGCTGGAACACGTTGACACGATGGTCTTGACCCCTGACTGATATTGAAAAAGAAACAATTATCCTGGACGTATGTAAGATGCGGCTTTCGTGTAAGCAAGGCTTGCATCAATGGATCGGATACATGGTAGCATTGGTGACTCATGGAGAAGCAATAGCACAGACTCAAAAGACAGGGCTCCCCGATGACACGTAAGATTCATCTCAGAACCCAGGCATCGACAAAAGCAAAGAATATGGAGATGAAAGTTTTTCTAGATGCCACACGTGGGATCGTCCCACGCCAGCGGGACGGGACAGCCAACCCAGTGTTGTTGGAACCAACAGCCTCATATGATCCAATATTCTATGCACATCTTTCTTGCATATGTATGCTCCATGTCAGCAGCGGGCGTTGGATCATACAGAGCTCAGGGGTCTGAACCGCAACCCAACATCAAGTTATTCCCGTTTTCACAGATATTATCCGGATAAGATTTTCAGGAGAAAAGAGGAGTAATAAGGGCACAGGCAACTAGTTAGTATCGTGAATATCGGAGATAACTAGACCACGGAGAACGCTTTGACGGGCCTATTTGCTTTTGGGGAGACCTTGGGGGTTCCTTTGTTAGCCTTGCCAAGAACTGTTGGTCACAAGAGAAGATATCTATGTGGGCAGGGCAGGCCTCAAATCTTAGTATCTCTTGATAATGCCAGGAACACGAATTCCCATCATCTCATTGGATTTGACCCGTTGGGCTGACGGTTTTGTCAGCTTGATCTTGCTTCTTGGCTGTCATCAACCCCGGCATGCTTTTGATTACAGATCTCGTACGCCGAACCACTCAGAGATTGTCTTGGAAGGGAGATGTGATCAAGTCTGGTGCTAGGAAGCTGGTTCCGAGAGAATTCTTGGACTAGCGGCGCTCAAGTTTGAGTTTTGCTGATGCTAGAAGCTAGATGCGTGGGATATCAGCCCGTCGTTGCGGGCGAAGACTGGTACTTGCCGGGTGACATTCTGACTATTCCCATGTTATGGCCGTCTTATGGCTTGCGCCTTGTCATGCTAGGAACTTATATTCCCTGTCCCGCGTGTCTCTGAGGCGCTCTTTTCTGCATCTTGACACCGAGAATCATCATCAACTCGAGTCATTGACAATCATGATCAGCTCTCTCCACGAAAGCCTAACGAACGTTGAGATTGGATCGACCATGATTTATCATCTGAAGGCCTGTCCCCAGCTAGCGGGTCTGCAGCCAGGATAAGGGTCACTTGCACAATCGCAAGAAGAACCTTTACTGGAAAAGCTCATCCGAAAAATGTTCTTTTTTGGGGAGGGAGGAAAGCATCCGGAGATCCTGGCTCGGCGGGACAGGGTGATTGCCCGGGATTTGATGGAAACACTGGAAACGCTGGACGACTTGGGATGAAACCTGGGAGCAGGGAATTTGATGTGACGCCGTAGGTGCTGGTGCTGTTGGTGTTGGGTTATCAACCAGGTGGACAACTCATAACCAGTCTGACGGGTCCTTGGTTCCATTCTCATGTCGGACAGAGTCTCAGTGCATGATACAGAGAAGCTTTGAGGACAACAAGGTTTCGTTTCTGAAATGAGAACTGGATAGGATACTCGGGCGGCCTCAATACTAGTAATATCTCAGTTGACTATTGCTTTCATACGTACTAAATACATCATATGTGCTGATATTGTAATCATACAATCACGGTAAAGGAATTAGGCCACTTCCTAATTTAGCACTGTAACTCTCTATCAAAGAAGATCCGCTCTCTTCCATTAACCAACTCCACACTCGTCCTCCACTGTTGCGTGCTGCGTTGCGTGCCCGGGACAAGGCCAGGTCTTAGAGTGGGATCCGACTTGCAGGGCACATCTGTCAGGGAGACCCTGCTGCTTCTCCCCCCCACTGCGTCGGGTCTGAGTCTGAGATTCTGGAAGGGAAAGGAATGAAAGGAAGTTGAAGGTGACTATGCATTGTGTAGTTGAGACAAGTCACAGACAGACTCGTCAGCAGCTAAGATACTTGATAGTGGCCTCACGGAATTAGGTACGTACGACAGCTTAGGTACATACTTGGGTATCGTCACGGCCCGTCTTGTCTCGGCATCTTTGTTCAGGTAAACGATTGGACATGATGGCTCGCCCGAAAACTAAAGCCGAAAAGGCTGCATGGCGTTCCATTCTGCGCTGTGATCGGCAGCGAAAACCGTCCCTAGTTATCCCCCGCTTCTCGAAGCCGGATCCAAGACAGAAGAAGCAGGTCAGTCGACCTGATTACAAAATGTGCCTGGCCATATGCAAACCGGAGAGAAAAAAGAGCACAACCCTGATGTTATCCCACGATACTATGGTTTAAGCTTCCGGCAGTTGCAAAATACGTATTCCTGTCTACTATCGCCCAAGCAAGGCAGACCCGGGCTGTTTTCATCCTGTCAAAAGCCCTTTCAAGACCCCTACAGGTCAAGTCAAGCCAAGTTCTGGCACTGACAGCGTTCAAGGGTGGTTGGAGAAACAAGGGCCAGTTGCGCTTAAGCCTGAGCTTAAGGACAGGCAAAGTCATTGGCTCCTCTGTGGAGGTGCTTGGATTCATTATTACCTACAGAAGACACAGACAGACAAGAGGCGTTCACTAACTTAAAGTGAGTGTGTCGCTGAAGTGCGTTGCGTGTGTGGCGACGTTTAACTTGGATTTAGCCTTGTTAATCTCTCCAATTCCCGCCATTGTCTCGACTTGACCTTGACCTTGTCTTGTCTTGTCTTGCTTCTATAAGCAGCATAGGTAATCGAACTCACCGCAATTCGATTCTTGTTCCAAAACAACCGACGAGAGAGAATAGAACCCATTCATTGTCTGAGCGCACCCGCACTTATCGTCATCTACTTACATCTAACCTATTTTCTACTTATTCCTTTATTGGATCATTGCGACTCTTGGCTTCTTCTTCAGTTTTTTATCGGGTCGATTAGTGCATGTCCAATTCATTTGTAGTGGACTGGTACTGGCACAGCTGCTGTGTAAGGTAGACTACCTTAGGTGTGCTAGGTGTGTTCCCCTCCCAGCTTCCATTGCGATTCTCGCCCAGACTCTAGACTAACAAGCCCTCTCCCCGCAACCAGTCATTGACTGATTTGCGAGAGATCCCTCATCTCAACAATCTTTACTGCATCTGACGATAACCAAGATAGTCGCACTATCTTGCTGCAATCGACGGCCATATTCAAGCCATTAATTACCGAGGTCAACATAATCGAACCCATCACATCGATTAAATCCTCTCCCTTGACTAGCAACAAAGAAAACCCTCGACACCTCCACCCGCCAATTAATCAATCAATCAATCACCAAAAGCACCGACCTATTCACACAAAAACCACAACTGTCATTGCTTTCTCTCTCCTCAATGCGGAACGGGCGCTTGTATGTGGACGTGGACACACAATGGCTTAGGCTTGCGACCGCCAAACATGGACGAACAAGACCACTCACGATCTGGCACCTCCAGTGATGCCACATCCTGGAACCAGGCCTCCACCTCCGACCTCAACCTACCCCGGGACCCAAAGATGGAGCGCTCCAGCGCATCCAACCTGCGGTCAGCCTTTCGCCATACGCTGATAAATGCCACCTCCACCGTTCGCGCTGTCACACCCGATCCCGTCGAGCCTCCAACTGTCAGTGTTACTGCTGAGTCTCAACAGTCCCAGAGAGGTGCTTCTTCACAGCAGAGTTCGCCCCGGACTATACCTCCGGGTCCTACAAGAAGACAAGGCATGGTTTTCAACGAAGTTTTCAGCGAGTCGTACGAGAGCAGCGAATCTAGCCCTCCGAGACAGCATCTGCGGCATACGAGCGGTAGCCTCCGGCCAAGGACGCGCACGATGGATACCTCTATGCTGGCACAAAGAAGTGTACCACCGCCGACTTCAGAACGACACCGGGTTGGCAGTGTGAGCTCTTCGGGGTCATTACATCCTTCAGACGAGCTAAGGCCACAGCTCAGTTCATTAGACTCGCTACACCACGCTGTCATAACGGGGCGAGAATCATTAGTACCAACAAAAGACAAAAAGTCAAGAAGGCTTATGAAGCGACAATCATCCAGGCCTACTTCACCTCTTATTTCTCCCCCACCTACCGTCGACTCACTCCCATTACCCATAGCCACTGATGACGCAAACAAGGTCCTGCTTCTTATGAGAACTCTATGCGGTCGAATGCGTGGCGAGATTGAATATCAAGGCGAAACGGGCGGTCCTTGGCATAGTGGCGTTGCTTATATTGAAGAGGAGAAGGGCTGTCTCATGTTTGACTCAGGGCAGAATGGACCCTTTCATATCCCTCTTGTTTCTGATCTGCGCGGCTGCAGGGTCCTCCCTGTCGATTATCCGGAACTAACCAAGGAATGCTTGGAGTTGGTGTGCATGTCACCTCCAGTGGAAATCTTAATATGTCCTTTAGTGACAGAAGAGTTCGACTTGTGGCTTGCAGCTTTACTATGCTGGCAGCAATTACGTCCAACGGGTATTAAGCTTGCCAATGGGAAACCAGCCAACCAGGTGACGCCCATGAGGCCGGAATTGAAGAGACATGGTTGGTCACAGGAAAAGAACAAGCCTACGAATATCATCAAGGTTGGCAAGGTGATGCTTTGGGACAAGGGTTTGGCTGTGTCACCACGGGCGATTGTCAAGAGACCCTCCACGAGAGACCTCCGATCACCCACGACATCCTGGAGGAGAGTCTCCTGCATTCTACAGGACAGTGGCGAGTTCAAGCTCATGACAGAGAATGATGTCACGGTTCTTTCTATCATCGACCTTTCACAGCTTTCACGGTGCGCAGTTCAACAACTTGACCGCACAGTACTCGACGAAGAATATTGCATTGCCATATTTCCAATCTATTCTTCTACATCTACTCACCTCTCCATCTTCCGACCCGTTTACTTAGCCCTCGACAGCAGAGTTCATTTCGAAGTTTGGCTTTGTCTACTACGAGCATTTGCGGTACCCGACATATACCGGCTTGATGACCCTAACACGTCACAAATTGTGGAACTTGACGATATTGAATCAGAGTATGAGGGCGAAGTTTTCAGGCTTGAAAAGACCATCAGTGTTAGGGTTACTGAAGCAAAGATCAAGGCTAGGCCCAGCGGTGGTGGAGGGACTGAGCCGACAATTCCAGAGCGACCCGGACGATCGGAACCTGACCCCCTAATTGGAAACTACCTTGCGGAAGTTATCTTAGACGGCGAAGTGAGGGCACGAACAACAACAAAGACAGCCACCAAGAACCCATTTTGGAGAGAGGAGTGCGAATTCACCGATCTACCACCAACCACGCCATTATTATCCATCGTCTTGAAGAGAGTGGAAGGAAACCTGGACAGCTCGAGTAATCTCCTCCAAGCATCCGTTGGGCTGCCTCGAACACGCAATCTGCAGGAGTTTGTAGTAGGTGCCGTCGACATTTCGCTCGACCAACTAGACCGCGGGAAGGACAGCGAGCAGTGGCTTCAGATATTTGACGAGAAGCACCAATCGGTTGGACAGATGCTAGTGAAAGTGAATCACGATGAGCATGTTGTGCTTTTGTCCAAGGAATACCAACCTCTCACGGACTTATTGCACCGATTTCCAGCAGGTTTGACGAACCAGGTATCGGCGGTTCTCCCGGGACAGCTACGTCGATTGGCCGAGTTATTCCTCAATATCTTCCAAGTGTCAGGTTCCGCTAGCGAATGGCTCATGGCATTGGTTGAGGATGAGATCGATGGCATTGGTAACCAGACCACCATGAAGAAATATCGATTCAGTAGCCGGCTGAAGTCGAACGACTCTATCGACGCCGCAACTGATCGTGAACTCATCGTACGAGATATGAGCAAGTCCCTTGCTGGAGAAGCGAACCTGCTGTTTCGAGGCAACTCTCTCCTCACACAGTCACTCGAATTTCATATGCGCCGCTTGGGCAAGGAGTATCTTGAGGAGATCCTACAGGAGAAGCTGTTTGAGATAAATGAGATCAATCCAGACTGCGAAGTCGATCCTAGCAAGATCCCCCACGAATCGGATCTCGACCAGCATTGGACTGTGCTCATCCACTACACGACTGAAGTGTGGAAGTGCATTGCTAACTCAGCCAACCGACTACCTCCCGAGCTACGACATATACTCAAGTACATCCGAGCAGTTGCTGAAGATCGCTATGGAGACTTCTTGCGCACTGTCACATACACATCAGTCTCTGGTTTCCTATTCCTCCGCTTCATCTGTCCAGCTATTCTGTCGCCCAAACTTTTCAACCTTCTACGCGACCACCCTCGACCTCATGCCCAACGAACATTCACACTTATCGCAAAGGCACTACAAAAGCTAGCAAACTTGTCCAACTTTGGAAAGCGAGAGGAATGGATGGAGCCGATGAACCGATTCCTCAATGTACAGAGACAATCTGTTCGTGATTATATTGACCAAGTGTGCAGTATCCCAGCGGACCGCAACGCCAATTTCGTTCCTGCAGGCTACAGCACACCAGTCACTATTCTCGGCCGTCTAAGTCCTACTTCCAAGGAGGGCTTCCCCAGTCTTCCATACTTGATTGACGACACGAGAAACCTGGCGAGTCTTGTCAAGCTATGGGTGGACGCTAGACCGGTTGACGACAAGAAAGAGGAGGTGGACCAGGAGCTTCTCGCTTTTAACGACGTGTGCTTCGCTCTACAACAACGCGCCGACGCTTGTCTCGCTAAGGTCGAAACTGAGCGTGCCAGTGAAACAGCAACCTGCGCTACCACAGAAGACGTCGCCGAATCCATCGAACAAGCATCCTTGATTGAATCACTCTCCATTTCCTACGGCGGCTCCTCAACAGCATGGAACGACGCCTACGAACCCACACCCGGTAGCTCAGGCAGCGAAGTGAACGACGACAACACGATACGCAACCGCAGACGAAGCAAAGAGCGCCGCCGTCACCATCATCACCACAAAGAAGGCTGGGAGCAACGAAAGCAACGACATGCAAGCACAGGTGGAAGTGCGAGTGCGAGTGCAAGCAACACTATCAAGTCTAAGAATGGACGTGTAGGACGTACGATCCTCAGCGGCATCACACGCATAGTAGGCCGTGGTGAGAGTCCTGAGGGAAAAGATTCCTCGAAGCATTTTAAGTAAAAGAGAAAAAGCCATTTATATCCATCTATACATATACATATACACATTTTATATACCTTTTGATGACTAGATGGGAGAACTAGTTATTCATGATTGAATGAACAATACAACTTTTTTTTTTTTGGAGTCACCACTTTCATCTTTTCATATTCCTCTCATTCATACTTGTCCTTTCTTTTGTCATTACTACCCAGATCTTGGATATGGCAGGCCATTTCTTCATACTCGCATAGCAGAAGGTTGGGATCGCCTCGTTTTAGTCGTTGTATTATATATATCTGGATTTCTTTGTTTGCTTGTTTTATTTATGTTTATTTTGCTGTCAAGTTGGAAGGCTCCAGTTGAAGGTACCTTTCATGGTCGGCATTATTGATAGATAAGGTACTCCTTGAACTTTGGAGGAAAAGAGGATAGATGATATATTGACTCTCCTCCATAAACTCAAATCATGATTAGAATCATTCCCTCTTCACTGAAACCATATATGTATGATTCATGCGTGGATGCTTTGCCTGACTTATGAAGCATGAATATGGGAACTGGAAAGCGGACACAGTCAACCACAAAGCTAATGCCCGTGATATATCGTCTCGTCATAGAGTATTGCAATATTTGCAATTCGATGGTATCTCTCATTCAGCGCCGACTCCTAAGTAACCCGCTTTTTCCTCGCATGGGTTATGTTACAGAAAGTGTGATCATGTCCTCCGCCCTCATTCCATATGAAACATGGCTATAATTTTCAAATACAACTGGCGTTCTATCCCGCTCGTAATGAGTAAAATGACGCTCTCTATTTTGCGGTGTGCCTTCTCTGCAGCCGCTTAGGCGAAGAACTTCTTGTAGGCAGCCTTCTCCTTGGCAGCGCGAGCAGCAGCCTTGGTTCGGACGGCGTTGAGCTCTCGGGTGATGGCGCTATCGTTGGGCGCAAGCGTGTTAGCCTCACTCAGGTCACGCAGAGCAGCCTCCTCGTCCTTGAGGCGGATGTTGGCAAGGCCACGGCGGTAGAAAGCCTTTGCACGGTCGGCGTCCTTAATGCCTTCGACGTCCAGGGCAGAAGAAGCGGAGCGAGCAGCGTCGTCCCAGGCCTCCAGCTTGATGTTCAGAAGCGCCGAGTTGTTGTTGAGGGAAAAGCGCAGAGCCTTCAGGTCGTCCTTGATCGACTGTGGTTGGTTCTCAAGGTCAGGATCCTCGTTAATGTAGCGCAGGCCCTTCTGGTACTTGTCGAGGCCGAGAGAATAGTTGCCTGACTTGAAGGCAGTGTTGCCGTACTCCTTGCAGGCCGTGGCGATCTTAACAATGGCGACGGCGTCAAGGGTGTCTGTGCAATCTTCGGGGAAGTCCTCGTATGGGTCGCCGAGGGCGTCAGGCTGCTTCACGTCGGCGGCGACGGCGGCATCACCCTTGAGCTCGCCGCAGTCGGCAATGAGAGCCTCCTTTGCGGGCCGGTCGCCGGACTGGGTGGTAAGGTTCTCGATTTGTCGAACGACGGACTTGCCGTTGAGTACCTCGCCAAAGACGACGTGCTTGCCGTCGAGGTGAGGGGTAGGAACGGTGGTTATGAAGAACTGGGAGCCGTTGGTGTCTGGCGGGGTAATTCGTCAGCGTCATGGCCCAAAATGAGGGGCATCATGGAACTTACTGGGACCAGCATTGGCCATGGACAGGAGGAAAGGCTTCTCGTGCTTCATGGGGAAAGCTTCATCGTCAAACTTGTTGCCGTAGATGGACTCTCCGCCGGTACCGTCACCAGCAGTAAAGTCACCACCTTGGATCATGAACTGCTTGATGACACGATGGAAGATGGAGCCCTTGTAGTGCAGGGGCTTTCCTGACTTGCCGATGCCCTTTTCGCCGGTGCAGAGAGCACGGAAGTTCTCAGCAGTCTTGGGTACAAGGTCGGCATAGAGTTCCATGGTGATACGGCCAACGGGCTTGCCGCCGAGCGAGATATCGAAGAAGACGCGGGGTCGCGCGGGGGAGTCGCCTTCGGTAGCCATTGCGATAGTTTGTGAGGAGGAATTGGGTGAAGAGAGGAGAGGAGAGGAAAGGAAAGGAAATAGAGATGAATTAAATCAAGGCGCCGGAAGAGAGAAGAGATGCTCGAGATTGAGATTGAGAGGATTGAAGAGTAAGGCGGGGGATCACGGCGTGGGGGTTTAGTCTTAGTATTTGGGTGTTGAGTTGCTATGGAGGAGCAGAAGCAAACAGAAGGTAACAGAAGAGGGGAGCTACCCTGCCAATTGAGGAAAAGTCGCGATGCAAGCGAGCCCGAAGATCGTGCCGCTTATAAGTGGGTAGCCCAGATATTTTAGTAGGTAGGTACCTATTTAATTGACTGACTGACAGCTGAGGGTTCAATTCTTTCTTACCGGGAACATCACTACATATATGTCTACACAATGAGTACATTAATAGCCTATCGTTCATGCAATCGACTCAATCAGATCATGTCTCATGAATCACAATCACTCGCGAACAAGGTCCAGCTCCGATATCCCTCGGACTAAGCCAAGCATGGACGGAGACGGACGGGATGTGAATATCATAACCAAGAAGACAATTGCGCATGCGGGTGTGTTTTCTTTTTCCTTCACCGGTGATGAGCAGAGGAGATAAGACGGGACAACTGGATCAGCTGATGCTAATAAAAACAACAAATATCATCAACTGAAACGAGACAGGTTCAGCCGAGAACTTTGAAGCCCAAACAGATGCTCTCTACCTAGACTCTCTCTGCAGTGTGAGGCTCAACCTCGCCCTGCAGTTCGAGGTCAGATACATCCATACATGACCTGTCATGCAGTAATTGTAAATGTGTTTCAATTAAAGAGGACACATAACACTTTGTGTAACGATAACTGCATGACCTTGGCCAGACTGTCTCTCTTGTACGAAGTAATTCAACCCAATCCAATCAGTAAAAAGTGAGAAAAGAGAAAACTCTCTCTTAATGGTTAAACCAACTTCTCATCAAGGCGGGGGAGAGCGAACAGGGGTCAAAGAGGGCTTAAGCCTCCTTGCAATAACGCTTCCAGGGCATTGTAATCCGAGTCAATAAGGCCCCATATCGAAAGGAAAGTGAATCGTGATTGAACAATGGTTACACAAATTATAGAACCACTTACATACAGGTCTTGCTTGCTACTGATCAAATCTCACCGTTTCTCGCCTATATCCCTCCCACTCAACTATTGCACGCCTCCACCAACCAACGCACAACATCCATTGTAGCGTCTACTGGGGATATCCCGATGCAAGAAATCAACGACCAATCCGATTGAATTGCCCGGTAAAGAGGAGAGCTAGAGAGACAACTCTCTCTATCGCTTTGACCACCTCTGATCTGAATTGCTTCTTTTACAACCACACACAACACGGAACTTCAGCCGCTCTCGGTTGCACAGCACATGATGCAGCCCTTCCGCTAACGCATCCAGTTAGAAACTGCCAATACATGAAAAATGGCTGTGTTGGCTGTTGTTTGCTGTGTGATAATTGCACTTTCGGATACAGTCCCGTCGACAACTGACCCTATCAGGTTGTGTGCTGTAACACACATATCAAAGATGTGACAGCCCGGGGAAGCTGAACTCTTCAAGAATCATATCATGTTGATTATAGACGCCAGGGCTGATTCCAAAACATGTCTCTATTACCGAACCTATAGCAGATCCGTCAATGCACCTGTTGTGACCCCTTCGCTTTCTCTTTTGTCTACCCGTCCTGTCTAAGGTATCTTCAATAGCCTATCTCCCTACCTTGTATTTCACATTTCTATAGCAGCCACTCACTCCGTCTTGGCGCCGTTCTTCAATTCCAGAGTAACCTATGATGTCCCCCCCGTGATTAGCACCGACACCCCCAGATGCAAGGAAAAGAAGCCTTTCACAAAACTTACCGGCCCGTCATTGACGAGAGCAACCTCCATCATGGCCTGGAACTGCCCATCCTTGACTCTCTCCTCCATGTAACCCGCCCTGACCTTCTGCACAAAGTAGTGGTACAGCCGACGTGCCTCCTCCGGGTTGGCAGCACCGTGAAAGTCAGGCTTGGCTCCCTTCTTTGTGCTAGCCAGCAGCGTAAACTGCGACACTGTCTCTAGGTCTCAGCCACTGCTGCTACCCTCACACGACCAGAGAGGAGAAGGAGACTCACCGCAGAGAACCTCGCCGCCAATATCGCCGACGCTCTTCTTCCACTTGACAAAAGCCAGTCAGATTTGAAACCACAAAACGAAATTATCGGTCCAGCCTCTTTTGATCTCCCTTACCTTGCCGCCCTCTTCGTCATCCCACAGCTTCATCCTCAGCACCTTGGCAGCCATCAGGTCAGCCTCTTTCTCCGTGTCCCCGGGGGCCACGGCTGCAAATGCCAGGACGCCCTTGCCGATGGAAGAGATCATCTCCTTGTCGACGGTGACGGACGCCGACAGGACACGCTGCAATATGACTATTTGAGTCGTTGGTGAGCTTATGTTTTAGTTGTCTTTTGTTTACGTGTGTCAGTGATCACACTGTACTGCACGTACCCTTCATACTCGTGATGTGTGAGTTTTTCGTGACTGGGAGATGCAAGTTGGGTAAGATATCAGACTGTTTCGACTGGCTTAAGTCAAGCTCTTTGTATCTAGACGTTACTCCGTGGTCGGATCGGCATCGGTCCCGATTTACCGTGTATCACAGCAGAGAAAGACAATCAAGATTAATTTTGATGATAAAACATCAATTTTTTCAAGCGGAGAGGCTTGGATGGATTAGAAGCCACCAAGTGTAGGATTCCCTTATCGTTCCAATATTCATAACCTGATAGGGACGTCAACTGGCGATTGAGTTCCAGACTGGACGTTCTAGGTATGGCCTACCTTACGCACTGCACTGAGGCAGTGGAGGGCACTTAATTGCCAGCAAGGTATCTCAGTAGTACGAAGGTAGACGCTTAGCGAAAAAAACCACGTCATTGAGTGCATCTTGCAATATTGGCCTGAATTTTACACCACCGTTTGGCTAGCAAGTTCATTATTACACAGAAATGTCATGCCTACAGATTGACTAACCATCTTCAACTGCTACAGCCTTTTCAAGCCTGTAAATGCATGTTCAACCCTCAATTCCCACTGCAACACGTTTCAGCAACTAACCGCGCCTCGCCCCAGTGAATCGCGGCCCCTCAGCCAATCACGACACCGCGGTTCTTTAGCCTCATTGGATGGCTGCACCTCCCACCTTGAACTAACCTTAACCACCAAATCAGTGCTGGCCAGCCTTAACTTCCAACAACCGCATCTCATCTACCATCGGTTCCCGGCATTGACGCTCAGGACGACGGACACTGTATTATCACCCTATTATAATTAACGACGATCATCGGATCGCCCCCCGCGACGCCCCGTTATATCATAATAACCCTTCCCTGCGCTGCCACATCCTCCCGAACTGTGCTGGCAGAGACGCACAACAAACCGAATCGACAACAACAGTCGGGCGACAAGATCTATACGAGCGACTAGACACTGCGCCCGAGTGGCTACATTTTCCTACTCATAATGGCGGCGAGGAAACTGGCCCAAGAGGTCGACAAGTGCTTCAAAAAGGTCTCCGAGGGTGTGGCCGAATTCGAAGCTATTTACGAAAAGATCGAACAATCGAGTAATCCTGCCCAGAAGGACAAGCTAGAAGATAACCTGAAACGCGAGATCAAGAAGCTCCAGCGACTGAGGGATCAAATCAAAACATGGGCCGCCAGCAACGACATCAAGGACAAAGCTCCCTTGCTGGAGCATCGCAAGCTGATCGAGACGGTTGGTCCCCGCCACTGACAACGGATTGTCATCCAGTATTTTATTGACGGTTGTATCGGATTTTTAGCAAATGGAAAAGTTCAAGGCCGTGGAGAAGGCCATGAAGACGAAAGCATACTCCAAGGAAGGTCTATCAGCTGCCGCCAAGCTCGATCCCAAGGAGCAGGCAAAGGTTGAGGCCAGCGAATTCTTAAGCGGAATGGTCGACGAGCTGGAACAGCAGATCGAGACACTCGAGGCAGAAGGCGAGTCGATACAAGCGACCATGAAGAAGGGCAAAAACAACACCGCCAAGGCCGAACGCATCGCCGAAGTTGAACGCATTATCGAACGACATAAGTGGCACCAGGGGAAGCTGGAACTTATCAGGAGATCCTTGGAGAATGGCGGAGTCGAGCCCGAGCAAGTGACCGACCTGGAAGAGAGCATTCGATATTATGTGTCGGATGGCATGAACGAAGACTTTATGGAAGATGAGGAGATGTATGAGGAGCTCGACCTTGAGGACGAAGAAGGTACCTACGGCATGGGCGCAGACAACGAGAAGAACTCTTCCCTGGATGCGCAGTCTGTGCAAGAGGACCTTACGACCGACAATGACTTGCCAAAGACACTGACGAGAAAGGCGCAGAAGGAGGTTGACCCAGTACGGAGGACATCTTCTCAGACAAAGTCACCTTTACCTGCACTCGCGACACTCCATGCTCCGCTACCGACTATCAGCAATAGCAATACGGGTACACCGGCTATGAAGCCAGCATCAGTACCTACAAGGCCCGCCGGAGAAGGACTCAAGTACGCTTCAGCTGCCGCCGCCGCCGCCGCGAGCGATAAGAACAACGTTGGTATCTCTCCACTACCCCCGCCCCCTGGTGCCGCATCATCAAGCATTTCCCCATTGCCGCAAGCCCGAAGCAGCGCGACCAACTCTCCTGCGACATCCTCTGCCCAGCCAGCTTCTCAACAACCAGAGTCAAAGCAGCCCACGCCAGCTCCTGCTCCTGCTGAGCCAGATCCAGTACCTGCGCCAGCCCCTGTAACTGTCACTACGAAACAGTCCAAGCGATCAAAGGCTGCTGGGAAACAAGCAGCAGTCCCCGAGGCCACTCCATCTTCAAAGAGTACGTGTACAAGACAGTTTTGTATGGCTCGAATAACTGACTTCGATGTAGCTCCACGGACAAATGGCACAGCCAATGG